TGGGGCAAGTCCACACAACGTCGGTGCTACCTACATTATGTGGACGTCTTTTGTTCGGAAGTCCACACTGCGTATGTAAGACAAACTCACCCACACACACACCCACACACCCACCCACCCACCCACCCACCCACCCACGGAAGGACAAGGCGGAAACAGTATGCCCCTTCGGCTTCGCCGCGGGGCATAAAAAACTATACCTAAATGGAGATTAATAAAAGGTTTGACTACTGCTCAGGCTTTCATTTTTTAATACAGGTGTCAGTTGGTTCATCACTTGATTATACTTGGAAAATGGAGAGTTAATAAACGGCACATAAAGCAACTGAAAAATTGCTTTCAGATTCGTTAAAATTATATGAAATTTTCAGCCTGAACTATTTCAATTGCTCTACGAAAGCTTCACAAAAAGGGCCTCAAAATGACACAAACTTGCCTTAAGTTTTATCGAAAATATCTGCCGTCGATAATCTTAAAAATAACGGAAAATGCAGGTCAAGTATGCCATATACACAATGCTAGTCACGACGAGAAACTGGCTAACAACATCTGAACTTCGCACTAGTACGAGCGTTTGTGATGCACTGTGTGTGGTGGGCCGGCAATCAGACTCGTTTCACGGTATAGGATTTCGGTGAAACACGCTGCATCGTTTCACTTCACATACCAGTAAAACTTCCTCAAAATAAATTCATGAACACGGGAAATACATACACAGACAAGAGAGATCAAGTTTTGTGAATAAGCTTGCAAAGATCGTCCTTCTCAATCGTTGTTTTCTTGGCATTTTTACGACGTCTATTCCGTCCAGCCTGCACGCAAAACACTGTACGGCAGGCAGTGCATTGCACCGCGCAGGACTATTACATTGACTGGTTACCGCATTTTCATCATGCCTTCATTGGGACTTAGTGCGCGGCGCAGCGGGAACCAGTCATTGCTGCACTTGCACGTACGGGCCCACGTGTTTTCATGCAGCTCTACGCGATATGCAGATTGTGCACGCACAGTATACAACCGCTGTACACACACGATCTTATACAGTACGTACGAGCTCGGTGTTCGTTCATTTTTAGCGATGTCCAGCGGCATATTAACGTGAGTTTGGGCATTATACCAACGAAAAATACGTGTAGCTTAAGACTTAAAATCCTTTGCGTTTTTATCACTTCTTATTTTTAAACTTCCCGTGTTTGACGAGCCCTCTTTTGGATTTCTGAGGAGCGCTATTTTTAGCGCTCCTTCGAGACAGTCGAGGAGCGCAGTAGGAGCGCCTGCGCGATCGCGCTCCTTAAAAATGAAGGACTGCCTTCTCTATAGTATACATACCGGTACATGCACAAATGTGCATGGCTGTCAGTCATTGCACATTCAGGAAAAAAAACACTCAAAATTCATTAATTCTTCACCCATAGGCTTATCATTCATGTCAGAGCAAAAAAGTACATAGTTATAGCATGTGCATGGATACCTGTCTAGAACGACCACGTGTCCATTCTATACAGGTACAAATGCATATCACACTGCGTTCCTTGCGCGCGTTGCACGTGCACACGCGTATAGAACCTGCCCGCACGCCCCCACTAAGAAGTGCCTCCGCTCAGTCTCATGCCCAGCAGGAAAGCCTGCAGTTATCAAAGGTTACATCGCAGTGATTTCATTTAATGAATACCGGTATTTACTTGCATAAAATGTGAGTAACAACAATTTATCTTTTTGACAGATTGGCATGACATAACAAAACAATTGTTGACTGCTGTGATATGGGATATGTCATTTTTATGACATAGCACCCTTGTCTTGCCTGGGTGCTACATATATGTCCCCCTCAGGTGTTCAAAACAACATATCCCACATCACAGCAGTCAACAATTGTTAAATGTACAGCTTTGAAAGTTAACACACATTCTGAGGTATTTTGGGCCAGTACATGCATTGAAAACCTACGATCTACAGTACAAGTACACATACTTCTCCAAAAATGTACGCGAGTTACCGAGTTACATAAACTTTGTACAACATTATTGGGGGGTTCAAACCATAGTTAACAAATTAGTTAACTTGAACAAGTTGACACAGGATACGCATGCATGTACTGGCATGTCATGAAATTGTTTGATGTAGGCCCTACTCACTGCAAAGAACATACAATAAAAAACAACCTGTGTTTTCTGCATTATAAAGCTATGTATGTTTCTCAATTGGGAGTGACATTTAGAGGCTAAGACAATGATCGCGTCCTAGAAACTGACAACTTCGAAAGAGTGCAAGATTTCTCCACTACGACACAGCCCATCCTTTTCCATCCCCAGGCTCTAGGAGCCCATCCCCCTCACCATCTCGGCATTTTAGTACAGTAGTGCCGCGTGATCCGCATGCTAATGAGAAAGTCACCAGACCATGTAATTAACTGCCCTAGATATGTGTATATCAATATACTTGGACCACATCAATCTTAATAGTGTCCCAAGTTCGTGTATACGTCTTCATAGTTTGGACATTGGAAAATAATTTGCAGTTAAATGTTTGTTGCCAATAAAGGCTGGAGTACATTCCGCATGAATTTGAATGAGTAACAAATTTCCCTGGCGTTGAAATGTGTTCACCTTTGATTCACTTATAAATGTATTTCCTGCGACATTCTGACATCAATATCATAATTAATTAATTATAATTAATATATAATAATTAATCAATCACTTCCGCAATAGAATTATCACTGTTTCATTTTATAAGTTAACAACAAGGGTCAAATCAGGTTCAGGCAAATGTGAAACCGAAGCTGATTTCCTAATGACAACATCGGTGGTTTCATTTGCAATGTTTCCCAGTTATCATAAGTTTTGTCCGCACTAACATTATTGGGAAGTTATAAAGTGGAATATTATTTATATAATACAATAATAATAATAATGTGGGATCCATTAAATTTGCAAAACGGAAATAGTTTTCTTTTTTCTTTACCATATCTTGATTCTTATTTATTTATTTCCTTTGTAAACACAGAGCGCCATTTTCTACGGGCTACCACAAGGATATAACTTTAAGCCGTGGTTGGGAACAGATTTCACCAATAATTCCATATTACCACAGTAATATTATGTTAGAAAGAAGCTTTTTAATAAGGCATTGGTAGCATTTGTTGGTTATTTTTTTCATCTTTTTGCATTTTCAACATACCACCCTCAATGTGTTTGGGAACAAAATTTCACATTCTCTCTTTTTGAGACATTGGCCTTCCGTAGTTTGCCAACCACAGTTTGGTAAAGAAATGTGTATAATAAATTCACACACACGTAGATGGACATGACCTTCAAACAGTGGCATAATTTATCTTGTTATTGGCTGGTCCGGCTGATGTCTAGAACCATCTGTCTACATGTATTTCTGCCATTTGCCCTGTAATCAGTTACATTAAGCTGCTGCCCACGATCCAGTGCAAACCCGGTTTCCCTTCGTTTGCCAATTTGTGAATGCAATTACACCAAACATACCAGTCCCATCTGCAGTGTACATGTACCGGTACGTGTACCGCATGCACCTCAGGCTCTGGAATATTTATGTGCTATGCAATCTGTAATTGGCCATGATGAAAGATGCCTGCAATGCTCACCGTACAAGATGATAACATGAACATGGCTCATCAAATTTTTTTTATGAAATCTTGAATACATACGAAACAAGCCATTTTCCCAACAAAATACGTGGACTAATAAATGCTGAATAAGACTTTATTACAAGTTACCACACGTTTTTACAAATGTGTTAAAACCTCCTGCTATTTAAACAGTCACAGACAGTCAACATTTCCATCCAGTTTCCCTGCTATACTTTCAACAAAGGCAAGTCACCAGCAGTCAGATCATAAGTCAAGCAAGCACTGTGACTAGTCAAATTGGGTCAACAAACACAGCAGGCAAGTTGTGGTTACAGCTGGCTTATCAATCACCCGGAGTCAATGCATACATGTAGTTGCTGCTGTATCAAGTTGCTTAAACAGTCAGGGCCAGTCAATCCTGCTTTATGTAGGCTGGGAATTCTTAACTGTTGAAAACAGTCACTTATTTGATTTTGACTGAAAGGACTACTTGGCACATAGGAGGGATTTATGTAAACTTGAATTCCATCAAACAATTTTCATTTACAGTAACAAAGGAAGACAAACATTTTGTACTAAACTTTACCATTTTTTCTCAGTCACAGACATTGTAAACAAAACCTGTAATCCCATTTTTTTATGAGGATAACACATTTGTATTTTAACAAAAAAGGCAAGTTACTGGTTAGACCAAACCAAATTCACAAATAAGTTAACAAAGAAGGCACCATCTCAAAAGTTACATATGTAGGACCAATGCCATGTTATTTTTGGTGGGCAGAACACAACAAAGTGACACACATTTTTTTCTTTCCCACCAAAACACAGTAAGGCACCCACCTTGTTAGTTCTAGAAGTAGGCCTATGCCTTCAAAAAAAGTACAAAACTTCATCCCCCGAAAAAAAAACACAAACAAAAACAAAACAAACACATTTTAAAAGGAACAAGAAAACACCTTTAGTTTAATAACATTAACAAGAGACAAATCATAACGTTACATTTATTTATGCCATTGGCAGTGGGCTAATTTATTTTGGAAAGATTGTTGCATCCTGACCAGTGACGCCACTTTTTCATCATGTAACCTCAATAAAGGTCAGTCATTGCAAAAATGTTGAAAGGACCTGAATCTGGGGCAGAGAAACATTTCCAATTTTGTTAGGAAATACTTTGAAAATGTTCTTGAAGCTGCTTGATTCTCCATAGACTTTGTACACAACCACAGAAGTGGCGTCTAGTCTGGACATTCTTTATTTTTCACAAAGTTACAGGGAGGAATTGAACGCAAAATTGCTTCTCAACAGTTGATTGACAGTGATTTCGCACTGTAGAAAACAGCACTGCAGCAAGGCCTCCCCAGTTAGACCCCTTCACAACGGCAACTCAGTTAGGCCTACTCACCTTCTCAAATCAGCTGAGCCCGAAACTGAAGGCGGCTAGCCTACTCTTCCAAACAGAAGCGGGGAGATTTATTTCCAAGTCAGTCAGTACGAGGGGCCTACTAAAATCCTTCGATATTCAGAGAAGAGTAGATCTAAAACACTTCTCGCTTAACGTTCAGATGTCCCATAAGCAACAACGTATGAGTTCCATTTCGTAGTTAAGAGCGAAAAAGACGGTCACTGGTGACATTTTATCTGTCTCTCGTTCGCAAACGCGACCACAACGATCGACAGCTCCACGCATATCATCAGTGTACAAATTATTTTGTGTGCACAAATGAATAGCTTAGTCCGGATCCCAATTTCTTACCATTCTATTTCATATCGCTACATGAAAGGTTTCAATCTACCGTGGGACCTGCTATTCTAAAAATAGACTTTAGACAGTTCTATTTTGAATAGGGCTTAATGCGTGGTTATTTTGGTAGAATGTCAAGATGAACTAAAAAGGTGCAGCTATTTACTCAGTAAATTAATGGAGCTACAAAAAAAAATAATCACAGTAACACGACAACAAGTTTCAATAGAATTCAGGAGAGCACAATTTCCTTTTGTTTGTATTACAACGTCGATTGTTTTATTCAGATGTTATATCCCACCCCAACCTGAACATCGCATAGTCCAAGTGTCAAATGACGTGTCCTGTCATTTTCCGACAAAAGGGGGCGTTCCGAGATTTTCGGCTACTAAATTGTGTATACACAATTGATAGTATGATCAGGATTGAGGGCGCTATTTATGGCTAAGGGTGCGGACCAGTAAATTAACCCCTGTAGACCTCAGTGATAATTATGCGCATTTCAAAAAAAATATTAAAACTATTCACAATTACTCTCCAAGGTGTTGGAGACACCCATCAAATTAAAGCTTATTTGATCATTTTTCATTTCTGTTCAATTGTTAAGTGGTAATTGAATGACTTTTGGGGAAAATTCCATCTAAAGATGATCATCCCTTATTGGCCAATTGCCATTTATTAGAAAAATTATGCCTGCGCTTCATTGGATAATAGAGCAATTTAAGGGCCCAATTTCATCCGAATATCACATTAATACAAGCTTGCAGGCCTGTGCGCGGCTTCCCCCAACTTTTTTTTTTTTACAAACCTTCAAGTTCATGGCCAACAAAATGCTCCAACAGCAACAAAAAATAGGGGGCATACAAATCGTGATTTGGCCCGCGCAGGCATTTTTTTGCCTATTTTAATGGTCTGCAACCTTAATATAACCGGAATTTTTCATTTTTCTTATTGGATTGTAGCTCAGTTACCGCTCGATGCCCGAGCTTTGTATTTATTTTATTTGTTAATTTTTTTGCAGTCTTATTTAAACAGAGTGGCCTCCTCAGTTAAAAAAAACTGCTTTCCTTGAGGGCCCTGTACAAAAAAAATTAAATATAAAAAAAAACAATTAAAACTATAAACCAATTAATTAAGTAATATTTAAAATAAAAATAAAAAATACAGTTATTAAAATATAAACATAAATTAATGTTAATTGTTTAAGCAAATATAAAGTCATAAAAAGCAAGACAAAAGATAACAGCAAATTAATAATGTATATGCAATAAAAAAATAAAACAAAATCCTACAAAATATTACGACAACATGGATATAATTAACATGCACAATTATATCATAAAACACATCCACTGGAAAATAAAATGTCCCACAATTCAAAGAAGTAAAGTAAAAAACAAAACTAAAAAAAAAAACCGGGACGTCATTAGAATAAACAATTAGGCATATCAGTAAATAAATGAAATAATAAATGAAATAAAAAAAATAAATAAGTCGGTCTCTGGTCAGCGCGCGCGTCGATTTTAATCATGCGCGTCAATCTTTTTTATTTCCAAAATGTTCCGCGGTAGCTCCAACAGCGCCCTCTATTGCCGCACCTCCTCATTTTTTTTTTTACCAAAGAGCACCAAGGAATGGGAAATTGTACCAAGGCAAATGATCGAGAGCACCAAGGCAAATTATGGAGAACACCAGTGTACATGAGGACACCAAAAAAAAGCAAAAATAGTACCCCACCTTGTCTGTACAATCCAAGCTTGAAGAGAAAAAAAAAAGAAGCCGCGTCCCCGCGTCAATTCCGGAACTTTGGTCTGACCAGAGACCGAACATTTTTTTTTTTTTTGCCTAAGCAAGAGAAGTGCAAACCCATAACAGTGTAAAGTAGACCATAATATGACCAATATAAAACACATCCACTTTAAAAACCCAAAAATACAATTATAAAACACAAAACAGATAAAAGGGGACGTCATTAAAATGAAACAATTTTCATCAACAGTCTCCCTACATAATTTTCATCAACAGTCTCCCTACAGCCATATCCCATCTGTCTGGTTTGTTAATAAAGGAACCCATTTCTTTTTTTTTCACCCAACATTTCTTTAAATCTCAGGGAAATAGAACTATAGGGTCGTTGCGATTCATCAGGTTCGTTTACCGCTTTCTAGGTGCGGCCTAAGGGGGGAACTTGACTGACTTACTATCCGAAGGAGGGAAAAGAGACACATATTCCGCGCTGTTGAAATGAAACCTCCACGGCTGGAATCTTGGAGCGCGCAGTAAGTTCGTGATGGTGGCAGTTCTTTTTTTTGCGAAATACATTTCCTGACGATTTATTTCAATTTAGTAGACTTTTGAGAACTAAGTAAACAAAAAATGCTTTATCATCCAAGATAAAACGTGCGGTAGGGCCTATTCGAGCTTTTCTGTATAGGCCTTGAAACTATGATTTCCTTTGCTATCGGAGGTTCACCTCTAAAATAGATTGTTTTTACAAAGGGAAATACAAAAGTTATCGAGTGAGATAACCAAAACAAAAGTCGTCGTTGAATTGTCAAAATACTTAATATTTTCGAATTATCCGACGGATGTGAAGTAGAAAAGAAAAAAAAAGGGGGGGGGGGCTTTTCCAGAAAGTTGCAGACCGTTAACTTGACGGTCTGCAACTTTCTGGAAAAGGCAGCAGACGCCCAATAAAGGAGAATTAGAAAAGTAGTTTTGTCGTCAGTCTTGACTGATTTATTTTTTTTAAGTTTCAAGCCCCCGGCCTGGAGTTTTCAGTCTTCCTGCGTACATCCATGGTTAGTTTCTGCGTCTACTGAAAAGACATTCCTGAAAGATAATGATTGTCCACTGACTGATCAGTTGATCAGATGCACGTCGATAACTTCATAATGCTCAGCCCGTCAAATATTAACAAAATGAGTGAATATAAATTAACCACACACTATTGTAATTTATTTCGTTTGAAAAGCAGATTTTTCCAAATGTTTGTGGTTTCTCCCTTTTTTTGTAGGGGGGGGGGGCTGGACTGCTCGAACACCGTGACGCTCGAGACGAATGTCATATCATGATATAGTTGGGAATGAAGATTTAGGAAAAGATAAAAGAATATTTAAAAAAAGACAAGTGCAAGGTCACATTAACAGATCCGCCAAAATTACGTTACTTCTGTGACTGAGTTTGGTGTGGAGTGTGATTTGCCGCTCCGAGACATTATTTTGGGAAAATGCATTTTATAACAGAAGACCCGTTTTTTTTTTATAAGCCCGTTTCTATTATCTGCTGCCGCCATGCGGCGATTGGTGCAAGTTGGAAATGTCATTTTAGTATGTACGGTTTAGTTACGAGACGAGTAGCCGAAACAAAATAAACGGAGAAAATGGCAAAATTAACTTGGGAGCGATGTTTCCTTGTGTTTTGCTGCAGTTTTTCGTTGTTTTGCAGCAACATTTTCGCGTTCTTAGATCTAGAAGAGCTGAAATCTGTTCATTATGATATAGATATTTTGTCTACCCCCGTACTTCTTGGCAGGGTAAGGCATCGTGTGGAGAGAATATAGCATCCATCATCTTCATTGGTTATGTACAAAGTCTATGGGGAGTTGAGTGCATTTTCAAAGTATTTTTTAACAAACGCAGTGGCTATTGTTACGGCAGCCGTAACGCATTTCCCATTTTCTATCGTTACGTAGCTGGAGTTACCCAGCCCTGAGTTTTATCATTGGGTTGTCATCTAGGGCTGGAGCGCATTTTTCTCAAAACTTGTAGTATTTGCAAAAAAAAATTGGAAAATGTTCAATTTTGTCCCCGTTACACACTAATTGCAACTGCAACTCACCCCAAACTTGCCTGGAATAACCATTACACAGGTCCTTGAAGTAAAACACGATCCACGATGAAGATTCAGCCTACAATTGCAGTGAAAACAGGAGGAATAACCGCTAACTTGACAACCTTGCTGGATTGGCCAGGACCGCTATTGGTTTGTGCACAAAAAAAATTGTGTACAATGAATGGCGGTCGATTAACAGGCACAGAGAGCGATCGCTGTCAACTACTCGGTTTCGCCGGCTGCGCTGGCTGTTGGCGCATGACGTCACGCGGAAGCGTAACACCCGATGACTGTTTCATGCACTATTGGTTGCGGTTCCAGTACCAAAGCTGTGATGCGACTGGTAAACCTTATACTAGTGCATGAAACAGTCATCGGGTCATACGCTTCCGCGTGACGTCATGCGCCAACAGCCAGCGCAGCCGGCAAAACGAGTAGTTGACAGCGATCGCTCTCTGTGCCTGTTAATCGACCGCCATTCATTGTACACAATTTTTTTTGTGCACAAACCAATAGCGGTCCTGGCCAATCCAGCAAGGTTGTCAAGTTAGCGGTTATTCCTCCTGTTTTCACTGCAATTGTAGGCTGAATCTTCATCGTGGATCGTGTTTTACTTCAAGGACCTGTGTAATGGTTATTCCAGGCAAGTTTGGGGTGAGTTGCAGTTGCAATTAGTGTGTAACGGGGACAAAATTGAACATTTTCCAATTTTTTTTTGCTAATACTACAAGTTTTGAGAAAAATGCGCTCCAGCCCTAGATGACAACCCAATGATAAAACTCAGGGCTGGGTAACTCCAGCTAATCGTTACGGTAGTACTGCAACTTTTATAAAAACATGAGAAGAAAATATAAATAAGAAGGAAAAAAGTGAATTTGAACGTTATAAAATTCGGACTTTCCTATTTCCCTTTTAAAAAAAAACCTCCAAAGCCTCAGGTTAGAAAAGGAAAAAAATTCGAGTGCAAAACTGAGATGCGAACCCGCAACCTCGCGGTGCAAAATCCTACACGCTATCGACTGAGCTGTCGCACTGTTCACCAAAACACGGGAAAACAAATAATTATATACCTGCGTGCGTATCAAAAAAGAATCGTTGAGGGCGCTAAAGAACGAATGCCGTAACGATAGCCACTTCGTTTAACAAAATTAGAAATGTTTCTCAGTCCCAGATTCATGTCTTTCAACATTTGTACAATGACTGACCTTCATTGAGAATGTATATGATGAAAAAGGTGGCGTCAGTATGCAACAGTCTTTTCAAATAGTAATCTAAATCTAATTTAAAAATAATAGAAATGATGAAGATACATTAGGCCTAATGACTATTTGCCAGTCACGGCAAAGCGCAGAGGAGCGATATTATACCGGATATTGTCTGTGTGTAATTGATATTAAATATTGGTTCTGAGGAAATCACTAGTAGGCCTAAGTGCATACATCGTTGATATTGACTAATCAGCGAAGACTTCTGGTCATGCTGGTATAATATCGCTTGTATGCATTTTGCCATGACCGGCAAAATAGCCACTGCCTAATTTTTTTTTTAAATTGTGTTCTCCTGTGTCAGCCTGTGCAACAAGAGGTGATGCACCTTCGTTCCAAGTTTGGCCAGCAATATGAGTGCCAGCTACCAGACATGACAGACTATGAGAAAGACCAGGAAGAAGAAAAACTGGCTACTGACATGGGTATCTCAGAGCTGCTCAAACCCATGGAGAACGCTCCTTGTCTGGTTAAGGTTGGTGTTGGATGAGGGGTTGGGCTGGGTTGGGGTTGGGTAATAGATTGGGTCAATTTGGATTGGGTTGGCTTGGGCCAAGTCAAAAAATGTAAGCCAGATACTCGTCCCTGCCCACTTCCTATTTCCCACCCGCCTCCCTTTTTTTCAAGTCTTTTTTTTTAAATTCATACATTTGCAATATATTTTGCAAATTTGTTTCCTACATAATTGTAGCTATGTAGAAAGTGTTGCAGCTCCGTTGGACACAGTTTTGTGTCACCAAAAAGAGTTGAGAAAATGGAAGAATTCATCCGTCATCTTGGAAAATCTGCCATCTTTGGGGTGGGGGCGTCTCCTTCATTTAAAAGGAAAAAAACGGACAAATATCAATTTTTTACTTGGCCTTAGAGTGGGTTTGGGTGGGTAGGCATACACCGCGTTATGGGGAAGTTTTTTATTGTTAAGCAAATTAGGACCGAGTTATGGGGACTTTCTGCTGTCCCCATAGCATTTTTGGTCCCCACAAATATCTCGTGGCGACGAGTGTAAGTCCCCACAGTTACGGAACAAGAATGTGTGAGATTGTTTGTTTGGGTTGGGTTGGAGTCTTGGGGATGAGTTGGATTGGATTGGTTGGGTTGGGTTGGGTGGGGTGGGATTGGTTGGGTTGGGTGGGGTTGGATTGGGTTGGGTTGGGTTGGGTTGCGTTGCGTTGGGGTGGGGTGGAATGGTATGGGTGGGGTTGGTTTGGGTGAGATGGGTTGGGGTCTTTGGGATGGGTTGTGTTGGGTTGGTTACACATTCAGTGTGTTGATTTAGGTAGAAGTTGGGTTGTTTAGTGTTGTCTTATGGGTCTAGCCTGTGTTAGTCCTGCAGGAATCGTTTTGTTACTTGGGCAAGGTTGGATTTCATTTTAAACGATAAAATTTGTTTTGTTTGAAGTGGAATGAAATTTTAGAGAATCTGGGGTTGCATGTGTGGAGTGAGACTCGTTATATGCAGGATTAATTAGGTCTTTTGTTTTAAAAATCATGCGGCAATCCTGTAATTTGGTTTCCTTTCTTTTGGATGAAAAACAGACCAAGGACTGGTGGAGTTACGAGTACTGCCACGGACAGCATGTCAAGCAGTATCACTTGGAAGATGGTAACGTTGTGGGAGACGATCTGTACCTGGGCTACTATGAGAGTGAGATGGATTGGAACAACAAAACACACAAGGTAGGTGACATAGCAACTTAACCCACTAGCACCTGTACTACATTGTATTACATTGTATTTATTTATTGAAAAATCACTAAAACCATAGAGTGCTTGGGCAGTTTTGGGCGCTACAGTGAGTAATAGGCTTGACGGTATCGGGCACTACAGTGACAAAGGGTTAAGTTATGCAAGCTATACAGTTTTCTTTAGGCACATTTTAAACAATGTTTAGAACATGACCTCCAACCTGTATACAGAGTTTTGTTGCTTGTGTTCCTGAGCAGGGGTGTTTGTCTCAATTGTATCTTTTAACCAATAAGTGAGCATTACTTGTTGGGATGGACCTTTGTTCAATGTTCTACATGTTCTATGCCTTGTTCAATTTATTGTTGTGGAAAAAAGGGCAGGAGGCATTTGGATGTTGCTCATGAAGCTGATGTCATGTACACGGCAGGACTTTGGGCTTTTTATCAGTCCAAATGTATGAAATTGATTAATTGCTTGTTAAGAAGTCAGATTTGCTAGTTTACTACTAAAAAAAAGGATCATCCTGTTGGGAGGATGCAGTTGAAGGAAACTAACCGCTTTCATTTTTTCCCAATTTTTGTCCACATGATTCAGGATGCCAAGAGGCACCGGCTGAATCGGTATCACAGCCACACCTACGTCAACGGCACCAAATGTGACCTGACCAAAAAACCTCGCGAGACAGAAGTCCGGGTACGTGACTGAATTCAGTGGTTTCTTTTTTTCTTGTGAAACGGACCGACACTCATTTTGAATTTTGCACAACGAGGACCTAAAGTACAAAATTATCTTTTTATTTCAACAAAAAAGCAGTGGCAGTTTGGCATGGCCAGGTTTATTCTGTGCACATGACCGGATCCTGCAAAGGGCCTCTGAAGGGGTTTGTCATGCATGCAGACTAATATAAACAGTTTATGTTAAAGTTTACGTTAAGTTTTAGGTTAAGTTTTTGAAAAAAAGGTATAACTTCTACATGCTTTCATGGATTGTGATGAAACTTGGATGCAGTGACCCTTGGGTTGGAAGGCACAATTCTTTATCGGATTGCTGAGGTTGAAGGTCATGTAGGGGTCATCAGAGGTACAAACACAAAACAGGGATTGACTGCAGGAAAAGGGCGACACTTGCGATCCACGGATCACTTGTATTTCAAGTGACAATGTGTTCACATTTCCATTGTAAATCTGTTGCCATGAAATCATGCCAACTTGTTTAATAGACGTACTCAATGGCTTTGTAACTTCCCAACTACACCATCAGTCCAAACTTTAGATGGGACAGCCCCAACTTAAAGCCAGAGTCCATCATTTGCAGCTATCCAAAAAGTAACTGGCGTGATTATTGTTGAAAAACATACTTGGTTGAAAGATAGTAAGGGAACTAAACTCCCTGTGAAATTATTCTTTCTGGCAAGCTGTCGTTTTGAAGAAATCAACGAAAGAAGGCCTTTCCAACGGTGCGTCTTAAGAAGCACCGTTGGAAATTTCCGTTAGTAGTTCGTTTTTTTATTCGGTGAAGCGCGTGCAAGTGTTCACACGACGCACATGCGCGCGCGGCTGCTATAATTCGTTGGATGGGTGCGCGACATCGCGTAGCTGCAATTGGCTACTGAGAACGTGTCTCAGACGCTGAATTCAGGCCCAATTCAAAACATGATTCAGCAACTTTTGATCTAAAATTGAGATCCTAGAATGTTGTTTTTCTTGAAATATACAGTTGAAGCTGAGCTGAAACTTCATCACCCTTCTTTAGATTTTGAGCACTTTTGTTGCTTCAAAAGAACAAAATGCACAAATTACAAATGATGGACTATACCTTTAACTTGGGGCTGTCCCAACTGAAGTGCTCCAACTTGATCACTTTAGTTGGGATGGCCCCAGCTTAAGTTGGGACCATAGTTTAAGTTGGGGCACGACTGTTTAAGTTACATAAACTGTTGGATGGTGATCTTACATTTCAGTTTCTGTGCGCGGAGGGCCAGGGAGACTCCATCTTTCGCATAGACGAGCCCTCCTCCTGCGCCTACATCCTGACCATCCACACCTCGCGGACCTGCCATCACCCGTATCTCCGCCCGCCACCTAGCCTGAAAGCCAGACCGGTGCTGTGCTACCCGGCACTGGAGCAGGAGCAGTACGAAAAATATCTGGAGATCAAACAAGGTATAGAGAGACAAAAACATGAATATGTACATTTGCTGGGGTTCCTAACTTTTTCAGTATTTTAGATATTAAATATTCAATTTTTCTGGATTCAAGAAGTGTATTGTCAAGTAGAACCTTTAACCCTCACTCCCTAGGCATTTTTGCCAGGATGCAACCTCAATCCTGCAAAATCCTCCAACTTCCTCCGTGTAAAAATTGCATACAGCCTCAATCCTCCAAATCCTCCTTATTTCTTGAATGTGGTCCTTGGAGAGGTGACCACTGCCTCAATCCTGCAAAATCGTCGTCAGTAAATGCACTCTTCGCAAAAGTTTTTAGAACACGCCCCTTTGTCTCGATCGATGCGCATGTGCGTCTATGTTGCATATGAAGTGAGACATTCCGGAACCGGGCCAGAGCTTTTTGTGCACTCGCGCTTGTTATCACCACATTTGGCCAAACATTTTGAAAATAAAAAAGGTCTTCCCAGTGCAGATTTTTTGGTGTTATCGGGTAATTAAACAATTGAACAGTTTAATTATACAAAATCCTGTTGACTGCTTCCTAAAGTAAACAAAGGAAGTAAAAAACACAAATAGACATTAAAAAAAATTACAAAATAAAATTACTTCTGGGCCTAATAGATGTAGACCAAATTGCCTCCGAACGCAGAATTATTGGCTGTTTTGGCATCCAGCCGAAACAGCCTTTGTTTTTTGTTATTTTATCGCGATTGTGAAGTTTAGGACACTTTTCCCCACGGATGAACACATTCTATTTGTAAGTTGTTTGTTATGCCACATTCTGAACAAACAGCTATGTCATAGACATATTACAAGCTTTGTTTGAGAGAAATATGGGGTTAACTAGTCAAACAATACGAGATTGCGCAATACCCCTTTATACACGTCAATGCGCCTGGCGGCGGGATAGGGGTTGGGGTAGTTTTGACCCAGCAAAAACGTGACCCGCGTAGGAAAATTGCATTTTCCACCTTGTAAATCTTTCGAAAATGACAAAAGCAGGTATTATTCAGATTCAGAGAAGTCTATTAAAGGTCAGCAAAGCCATTTTCAAATAATCAAATATTCCAGACAGTAATATAACCACAATGTATACAGGAATTCTAAACTACACAATCGCGTATATTTCCTTGCTTTTAATGCTTCAAGTATAATTCTTTTTCAGTCATTTTGCCCAAAGCATTTGTACACGGTTTTTTTTGTTACCGGCACTTTGGCCAGTAAAATCAATCCAATTGCCTTCATGATTGCCACACACTTAGACCAGCATCTGAAGTTGTGCGCCAAACATTGACGTCATCATGATGTCATCATGAGTTTTGTATAAATAAAAAGGAGAAAATGCTTCAGATTTCAAATATGCACTTGACATTTACAAGGCTGGGTTGGGGCAACCTTGAAATTATAAAGCAAAATAATTCTGCACAAAAACTACTGCGTTTATCAAAGTTCATAAAGTACAAATGATACCATGTTTGTATGAAGAAAACATGGCATTTGCTTTTCCTACCACTTTTTAAGCATTTACTCGCATCTGTATGAAAGAAAATTCAGCAAACACTTTTACTAACAACCATTTGCTAAAAATCTGAAAATAATTACTTTTTACTTTTAAACTTTTGCTACACCATAAGCGTTTATTTTGTTTTTTATGAATAAAAAGGAGTAAATGCTTTAGATTTCAAATATTTTCGTGTCATATTTCAAGGTTGGGGCTACCTTGATAAAAGCTACCCAATAAAAGCACATAGTTCTGTGCAAAAATAACTGCATTTATTAACGTTAACCGCGAGAAAGTACAAATAATACCATACGGTAGTTCGTATAAATAAAACTGGCATTTGCATTACTCCCATCTGTATGAATAAAAATTAATCAAAGGCTTTTACAGAAAACCATTTGCTCTTGAGTAAATGGCCTGCAAAATGTAAAGCTTTGCCATTTATAAGTTTGCAGAAAATAAAACTATCGTAACCAAAACGGAAATCGGCACCGGGGAGGGTCACATGCTGAAGGACAGATACAAAAAAGCGCACCAAACGTGACGAACGCAATGCCGTTTAGGCGCACAATGCGCTGTGCATCGGCACCCATGGTCTACATGTGGATTGGGCTTTCAGTCCCTACCTGATTCCGTGGGTTTTCCCCAGACTATTCTTCTGGGGTTTTCCTCCCATCTCTAAAACTGTAATTTCTTCTCATAGTCTTCTCTCCACAGCTTTTTTTTTCGGGGTTTGCGAGCTACAGTGCCTGGGGCATGCACTTTTGAGGATCCTTGGTTTCATTACCAGAAATTAAAAAAAATATAATATTTATCGTTTACTTCATTTCGTATTAATAAAAAGGAGTAAATGCTTCAGATTTCAAATATGCACTTGTCATTCACAAGGCTGGGTTGGGGCAACCTTGAAATTATAAAGCAAAATAATTCTGCGCAAAAAATACTGCATTTATTAAAGTTCATAAATTACAAATGATACCATGTTTGTATGAAAACATGGCATTTGCTTTTTCTACCACTTTTGAAGTATTTACTCGCATCTGTATGAATGAAAATTAAGCAAACACAAGTCATACACAAGGCTAGGTTCGGGCAACCTTGAAATTATAAAGCAAATAATTCTGTGCAAAAACTACAACATTTATTATGTTAATCGCGAAAAATTAATACTATGAATAAAACATGGCATTTGCTTTTACTTCCAATTTTGAAGCACTTACTCGCATCTGTATGAATGAAAATTAAGCAAACAGTTTTACTAAAAACCATTTGCTAAAATCTGAAAATAATCAGTTATTTACCTTGTAGCTTTTGCTACACTATAAGCGTTTACTTCGTTTCATATGAAAAAAAAGAAGTAAATGCTTCAGAGTTCAAATATTTACTTGTCATATTTCTGAAGTCCATTATCTACAGAACAGTAAGTCCGATTGGGTTGAAATTTGGTATGTGGCCAGACCGGGATGTGCTATAGGTAAAAAATGAAGTGGCGTCATGATGACGCCATCCTGAGATTTTATATGAATATTTGAATTTTTAGACTGTTTTAGCCATATCTCACGAACGCAACATGCAAAGTTAAATATCTTTTTGTATTTGGGTTGTTAGGTAATAAAAAAATTGGGTAGGCAGATAATGGTACTAGTATGCAAAGTCCGAAGTGATGTCACAATGACATCATTGTTTGATTTTTTATGACTTTTAAAAATATTTACAATTTAATTCTGCTTCCAAAACTGCACACTTTCTTTCACCGGATTGACATTAAACTTGGTTCAAACCAGGACCACAATTACAAAATGTGTATTGAGAAGGGTTTTAAAGATGACGTCATTGCAGGGCATGTGACGTCATGTGATAAAATTATATTTTGGGAATTATTCTAAGCATTTGAACAACCTTTAACTGCATGAAGCACTCTGACAAGTGACTGCAAAAGGACCAACGAAACATAAACATTTGTAAAATGTGAAAAGCCCTGTGTTCTGTTTGCAAACAGACATGTGACGTCATATTAAAATTGCATATTTTGAAGGCCAATATCTACAGAACCACTGGTCCGATTGGGTTGAAAGTTGGTGCGTGCCTAGACTGGGATGTGTTATAGATGAAAATTGAAGTGACGTCATGATGACGTCATCATGGGTTATGTGATGTCTCTTTAGAAATCAATATAAAATCAACCGTGAGAGACCTGAACATGATTTTCACGGGATATGATAGAATTATCGAGGGTCTTCATTTTTTATATTATGTGCAAAATCACATGACCCTTTCTTCCGATTGAAACTGGAAGTGCCTTGTAATTTAAAATTGGTGAAAAATGTGAACTTGCTTTCAAAGATGTATGCTGGCGGAGTTGTTCTTTCCCATAGTATTATAGTTATAGATGAAACTTGATGTGACGTCATCACGTGACCTGTGACGTCATAATTCAAAGCTCTATGAGAATATTATCATATATTATATGCAACTATTTATTATAAACAGAACTACACATCCTTCCTTCCTTGATGGAATATATACTTGAAACTTTACATGTCACAAGTCACAAAAAAATTACCGAAACAGCCCTGTGTTTGTCCACAAACATAAATCCAGTTGCTTGTTAATTTCTTTATCGGAAACAGAAAAGCAAGAAAAGGACAAGAAAAATGAGCAGCACATGATCGCCATAGGAACCTCTGAAGGCTCGCAAAGCAAGGATTCTTCAGTAGCAGACGGTGCTAGCACACCAACTCAAGAGCCAAGTACCAGCCAAGAAACTCCAGCAAGGAAAACGCCATTTGGTAGGTCAAGTTTATTGACCTGCCAACTTACATGAGCTGTTGGAATCATCTACTCATTTGCACACCAGGGCCCAATTTCACGGCGCTGCTAAGCACACGATTTTCTGCTAGCATCGCCTCCGTCTATTTCATGGAGACCATAAGCATAAGCACAGCAAAAGGCACGCTTACTTCAGAGGAAAAATGTGCTTAACTTAGTGACGTAACAATAGAAATCTCCATGCACGCACGACCGTTAGCACATCTACACTGTGAAATAGTGCTAAGGGTTTGCAATTATTTCTGCTAAACACACCTTTTCTGCTAAGCAGCGCCGTGAAATTGGGCCCAGTTTTCATCAGTTGCTATGTGTTACCATTCAGCACTCCAGACTCAAGAACCACTGAGTTTCAAGAAATTAAGTCTGGGAGCTAGATAGGCCAATGTAAAAAAATGGGGGGGGGGGTGGGTTTGCATCATTTGGATTTTTTCAAACTCGCTAAAAATCAAGTCATCCAATAAACCACAAAGGGAAACTGACTAGGTGCAAATATAATAATTTTTAAGTTGAAAAAGTCAATTTCTTTGTTCAAATTTAGAATTATCTATCGATCAACTTCAAAACTCTACCAAGTGAAAGGACTTGTTTGGAATAATTTGCATAATTTGTATTTGGAATAAATTGAACAATATCTTAGTCGGGGGGGGGGGGGGGGGGGGGTCAGAACTACCGTGAGATTGATCGAAGCAAAACCTCGACAAATGGCTTTAAAAAGGTGCAGAATTTGTTGGTAGGTCGGAATATCCCTTCACTTCAACTTTCAACTTTATGGTTTGGAGATGGAAATGTATTGTTGTATATAGGGATGTAGTCAAGTCCATCGCAAGTTCCTTCAAGTCCATCACAAGTCCTCCAGTCCCAATTCAACTCACAAGCTATTCAAATGCGCTTTGACAAAGGCATTCCTTTGTCATTGATCATCCACTGTTACTTGTGACTGGACTTGTGATTTACTTGTGACTGGACTTGTGATGGACACGACGTCATCCCTGTTGCCTGAATGCAGCAAGTATCTAGACAAAGTAAGTACACAGTGAAAAAAAAGTTACTCAACAAGAGAATGATCCTAATTGAAAAGACTCAAAAACGTGTAGTCCTAATTGATTTTGATTGCTTTATCTATTACGTTTTTGTGTCTGTAGAATCTGCACTTTTTGAGGATTTAGATCAGACAGAGGTAAACATTGACGGATTGGAGGAGGCAATGTCCATGGGCGTGGACCCCACACAGCTCAGCAACTTGGTCAAATCCATACTCAACTCAGTCAAGGATGATGTCAAGAGCATTGACAAGGAGGTCAAAGGTGAGGGGTCAAAAGGTGATTCGTTGCGCACAGAGTCGTTGTGCATCGTTGCACACAGAGTCGTTGTGCACATACTCATTCTATACCATTCCATTTGAGAACAAGGCATTGTGTTTCCTTTTGTTTAGATAATATGACACTCTCCCACTAGTTTTAGCCCAAGATGCTAGTGATCGATAGTGGGTTGTGCATATTGTTTGACGCTCATTCAGCAGTAGTGTGCCATCTAACAGCATGATTAGACCAGCGCGCATGCTCGCACCAACGTCTTGGGAATGCAGTAGTAGCCGTTTAACATTTTTCTTTATTTTCTCACTAGGCTTTCCTAGGGAACCAATCAGCGATTGCAAAATGGTTTATAGTCAGTCGCGCGCGCGCAATAATGAACGTTCGACGTTGAACGGTAAGCCTTTTTTTTTGGGAGAGTTTATAGTCTTTGCGCGATGGTTGTAAACATGTATGATACGTGCGGAAATTCAAGTCTGGTGAACAAGCATGACTAATAAGATATGTAATGCAGTGATACCTCCGTGTGCGTAACTACTGATATTAAATGGGCAACCGCAGTTGGTGATATTTACACCAACGTTCTAATTTACATAAAATGGCCACGCCATTGCTGCAAGATCCGCAAGACGTCAGTGCAAGAAAGTAAAAAAACCCAGTTGTGCAAGGGCGCTCTACAACAATAACTGTCAGTGTTCTGCAATTGCAACCATCGCTATCGATCACTGACGTCTCGGGCCAAGACTACTCTCCCATAGACTAAGCACACAATTGTACATGCGAGGACTGTCCTCAACAGAAGATTTCCCTTTGAGGACAACACTGAATCTATTGTTCTCACTTTGTCTTGCTGTCCTCAGTCTATATGCATATGATAATGTACAGAATAGTTCATACGCATATGGTGCAAAGTACACACAACCAATTTTCATCACAATGAGTACAAATTTGTAGCGTCTTGGCTTGGATGTAAAGTCCAAGGTCCCCTTTTTGTCCCATACAACTCATCGCAAAGACTAATAGCATAAACATTTATGTGGGTATTCTCCTTGCAGATGCCCAACAGTAGAATGAAAAACCACTGAAATCCATGAATATCTTACAGGGTTAAACTTTCATTACATATGGGACATATGTAATGAAATGCATGCACGAATTCTTGGACTTGCTCTAGATAAAAGGGACGGTCGTGTTCAAATGTCCGTCATCGCTCTCTCTCTCTCTCTGTCACTGATGAGGGGGTGCTTGTGCACGGTGTCCACAGTGTTTTAGCGTCTGTTAGGATATGCGTCCTGTAGAAAGCTTTGAGTTAACCATTTTCGCTGCTTTCATAGATTTTCTGGAAAGGCCTTCAAGTTTTAACTTTTTAGATATGCACATAGCAAACATTGTTGATTTGATAACAAATGACGAGGATGTGGTTTTGTTTGTGGCAGACAAATCTGAAACTGGGGAGGATTCATCCGAGACGAAAGAACTGACAAGAGAAATTGACGATGATGATGACGATGATGATGACTTTTTGGAAAAGTTAGCGCTCTCTGACCTGGACATGGAGGGAATGCTGGACGACCCCGAACTGCAGAGCCTCATGGAGGAGGACATCGGCGAGCTGGTGTCGAGGTTCAGGCGTCAGATTTCCCAGGTGACCTCCGACCCGGTCGAGGCGGCACAGATGCACAAGATGCTGGATAGCATCGAGGCCACGCTGAAGGAGATTGATACCGTGAATAGTCTCATTGATGAGGTAAAATGTGATTGTTAATCTAATAGAATAATAAAATAAATCTGTCATCTGAAATTGGGAACACGCCTTTGTGATATGAGCTGTGTTCGTTGTTCCCTTGGCTGTTCTGTGGGCATGTTCGTAATCCATGTTGGAATACTGGAGATTCCTGTATTGTTATTATGATGCATATCAGATGCTTCGTACAGATACTGCACATCTGTTGCTGAACAGGTGGTGCTCCTTAGCATTTCTGGCTTTAATAATATATGCATTTATATAGCACTTTTAAATATTATAGCACTTTTTAACGGGGTATCAAAGCACTTTACAATTATTATTACCCCTGTTCAATGGGCAAACACTCCTGAAACCTTCTCAACTCCCTGGGGAGCATACATGGCCGGTGGGCAGCCATTTCAGCGCTCTTGGCCGTAATCAACCTCTCACAGTAACCAACTCTGCCCTCACATGTACCCACTAACTCCTGGGTGGAGAGAAGCAATGAGTGACAAGGCGCCTTGCTCAAGGGCACACGCACCATAACCCCAGGCTGGACTCGAACCCACAGCCTGCAGAATTACCCGCAGACCACAAATTCAATGCCCCAGACCACTAGGCCACGGCACTTTTTGAGCTACTGTAACCCTAACAGAACTTAACCTATCAAACCCCAACTGCATGTTTTGTTGGAATCTGTCAGGATGGGTACAGTACCCCTAAACTTTTACATTCGGTTGGCACACCTCCTGAAACAAAGTCAGAAATATGTGTGTGCAGTTTTCCATATGGAATTTGCCAGGATGGGTATGGTTCCTAGTAAATTAGGCTGGGGAGTTAGGGATAAGAATCAGATTCTTTCCTCCTATAAAGTAAACTATAAATTAACCAATGCATGGGCTCGTTGCTTAAAAGTATACCCCTCAGCAGTAAGAATGCACAGCATAACTGTTATTGAAGAATGCTCAAGTTCCATTGTTGCTGGGCATCCCCAATTAGGTGAGATTCTGTCACATGCAGACACTTTAGTTTGTGCACTTTTGTTTTTTGTAAATTAGCCACCTGTATGTTACGCAGTACTCACGCCTGAACTGGTGCATGCACATAATGTATCCTTCACTAGCTCTCGTTTGTTGGCCACATCAACTGTTCCTGCAGACAAGACAACCATTAGAATAGGAAAGTTAATTAGGTTTTGCCCTTCACTGACGTATAAACACTGTATACTCAATACCTCCCGAGTGAAAATTGGAAAAAAATCACTCGGGTGGGACTCGAACACACGACCTGCTTTCTAGTGCAGTCGTGTTACCACTCGACCACCGATTTTGCGGGATGGGTTGGCTGGTTCGAATAGGAAACAGAACAATATATACATATATCAAAACCAGGATTGTTTTCCCCTATTTGTGGTTTAGACTGATGGAGATGATGATGATGACAGCGATGATGATGATGATGATGAGAATGATGGAGATGATGCAGGGAGGATGCTGGCCAAGACCCTCAAGAACCTCATCAATGAAGTCAGGGAGAAGAGCGAAGAAAACAAGATGGCAGGTAATCATGATAACGACTACTAGAAGAATGAGTTCTGATAAAATGCACTTAAACTTCGTGGTCCCTATGTGCTGTTAGAAGGAAAAGAAACTAAAGTAAGGAAAACACTGAACTGAGGAATCAGATATATCTTGGTTCTTCTTGGTTAGTTCATCTCCTAAATACTCCGCATGAGAGTTTATACAGGAGGACAGAAACACCGGGGCAAACCCCTTCTCTTAGCGATAAGTGTCACTGGGTTCTTTTACGTGCATTGCATTACACAACACACAGGAACTACGGCTTTACGTCCCATCCGAAGGACGAAGCAATAATGGTGAAGTGCCTTGCTCAAGGGCACAAGTGTCCACCCGGCGGGCTCGAACCCACGCCACTGTTGCCTCTGAAACACCAGAGCATGAGTCCGGTGTTGTGGAGTGTCATGGCCTAGCCACAATATCAGTAATATTGCGGAGAGTAAGGGTTGAAGTTACTCACCCAGCAGTGTGGTATTCCAGTCCTTGCAAGTCCCTACAAGTCCATCACTAGTCCATCACTAGTCCATCACAAGTCCATCACAAGTCCATCACAAGTCCATCACAAGTCCATCACAAGTCCATCACAAGTCCATCACTAGTCCATCACAAGTCCACCACAAGTCCGTCACAAGTCTGTCACAAGTCCGTCACAAGTCCACCACAAGTCCACCACAAGTCCATCACAAGTCCATCACATGTCCATCACAAGTCCATCACAAGTCCATCACAAGTCCATCACAAGTCCATCACAAGTCCATCACTAGTCCATCACAAGTCCATTGCAAGTCCTTCAGCCTCAAGTCAAGTCACGAGCTATTCAGATGAACTGTTACAAAGCATTCCGTTGTCATTGTTCACCCAGTTACTTGTGACTGGCTTTATGAAAGCACTAGTGAAAGGAGTCGTGATGGACTCGAATACAACTCTTTCTCCAAGTGCCACACATTCAAGTTTCACCTCGTAAACTAGATTTTGTTTTTAAACTGCTGTTTTTTTAGCAGTTTTCTTATTCACTTTTGAGTGAGACATCGAACAATACCGTCCACGTTTAGTTATGTAATTTTTACTGTGCAAATTTTGAATTGCGGCCCGACAATTATTCAGGCATGTCTTTTTGTGTGTTATGGGTGCAAATGCACCCCCAAAAAATGCATTTTCAGAGGGTTGAAAACGTTCAAAATAGAAAAAAAGTAGCTTTTTCTGTTTCAACAAAACATACATTGAAAATTTGTCAGGAGAAAAAAAAATTGAATATGTGGAGCATGGGTAAAGCAACTTTCATGAAAAACAATATCAACTTGAGATTAACATTAATGGTGGTGTACATGTAGGACTACAAAAAGTAATATGTTCTTAAAGGGAATATACATCATTTGCTTTTGCTGTAATTTTCAGAAATGGATGGAATTGGGGGGTTGGAAATATATTGCAAATATAGTAACACTGACTTTTTTGAAGTTTTGGGTTCGAAAATGCTATAAAAACCAAGAAAAAACAATCACTTTCCTGTAGTCTGGTTCCCTGACTCCATATAAGAAGAAACAGAGCAGTTTACATACATTGGGGAATTGTAAGGTCAGGGAACCAGTCTAGCTGGCTTGTACCCGTTCATAGGTGTGTAATCGATTGCAAACAAGCGCGATGGTCAATTGGGGCCAGTATTTGAAAAAAAGCCAGTTTTTTCCAACGCTGGTCGGCCGACCAGCGTTGGAAATTGATACAAAAATACCACTTTTCTTGAAAATGACAGTATACCAGGTGCCATGATTTTACAGGATGCTTTACACTGTCATTCACTAACAGTCCAGCAAAGTATTTCAAAATGATTTGGTAGTTTTATTTTTTGATGTTTGCAAATGTTGTATTTTCCCTTTAATGTTTAGTATTCTCTAATGAAATAATACTTCGTCCAAATTGTATGAGATTTTTTGAGGATCTAAATTTCCATCGGTGAAACAGTCAAATTCTCCACAGCCTAGTGTTGTTCAAACTGGATAGATATTGTGGACATTCATACCCCTCATGTTTGCATTCAAAGCTATGTTACCCTCACTTAGAACCTCTGGGACTAAAGCTCTTGCCAAATGCCTTGCAGCTCCTGACGAACTCCGATTCACCTGTTGTTTCTCTCTCCCCCCCCCCCTCCCTCGTAGACTTAAAGAAACCATCTACCTCATTGTCTGCGGCGGACGCCGGGGGCAAAGGCCAGGTCAAGCTAAAGGTTACCAAGGTATCCCTGGACCGATCCCGTAAGGCCAAGCAGGATTCGCCCAAGGAGACGATGGTCTATGACAACGAACACCGGCCCATCGAGGAGGCCATCATGCAGCAGCTGGAGAATGCTGGCGTCAACGCCGATGGTGAGCTTTAAAAAGCTTTAGCAAAAATTAAGAGACTCTCTGGGTTTCATGTCTGCAGCTTCAGGGTTGAAAATGAATTCAGTAGGGTTTGATAGAAGTTGTGTAAAGGGGTGAAGTTAGGCCAAATTAAGGCCAAATTTAAGAGTGTCTGTGAATTGAGGTTTTGATGTTTACAGCTTCGGGGCAGTAAGAGAGTCAGTAGGGTTTGATAAAAGTTGTGTAAGGGCTGAAGTTAGGCCAAATTAAGGCCAAATTTAAGTCGCTGTGAATTGGGGTTTTGATGTTTACAGCTCGAGGGTTGGAAGTCAAGATTGCTAAAAGGTTTTTGAAAGGATTGCGTTGGGTTTTTGTCCAGGGTTTTGGTAAAAGTCTTCCCCACCAATAAATTGCAAGCCATCACAAGTCTTTCCCAGGCCAGTCATCGGTCAATCACATGTCAATCATTGGTCAATCACAGGTCCATCATAAATCAACCATTGCTCAGTCATAGGTCAATCACAGCTCAGTCATAGGTCAATCACAGCTCAGCCATAGGTCAATCACTGGCCAGTCACAGGTCAATCAAAGGTCAATCACTGGTTAATCACAAGTCAGTCACAGTTCAATCATAGGCCAATCGCAGTTCAGTCATAGGTCAATCACTGGTCAATCACAGCTCAGTTATAGGTCAATCACTGGTCAGTCACAGGTCAATCATAGGTCAATCACTGGTTAATCACAAGTCAGTCACAGTTCAATCATGGGCCAATCGCAGTTCAGTCATAGGTCAATCACTGGTCAATCACAGCTCAGTCGTAGGTCAATCATGGTTAATCATAAGTCAGTCACCGGTCAATCATAGGCCAATCACAGTTCAATTACAGCTCAGTCGTAAGTCAGTCACAAGTCAAATGACAAATTCAAAGAAATCTTACAGAGGTAATCTTACTGATGACTTGTTAAAAAAAAAAAAAAATCCAAGGAAATTACTCCAAAAAGCAGTTGGGCGTAAGATTGTCACTAACAATTCATTTATCAATCAAGTAGTATGGTCTCCATGCCCAAACGAGAGAGGGCGCTTTTAACCACTTTGGAGAGCCCAGTGGACGGGGCACACCACATGCGAGTACTGGTTGTCATGCATGAAGTAATTTACACAAAGCCAAAGTATCTTCGCGTGAGCGTCTGGTGTCATCTACATTGCATTCCAAAGTCTCAGTGGTCTCCCCCAACTCTCCCTTTCTTACCACTGAGGGGGTACTTGTGCACGGAGCCCTTAAGAATATATACTTTTCCCCTCTTTTTAATTATAAAAAAAGCTGGTAAGATTGAGTTTCGGATCGTGACGTACTCACCCAACGAGTGGCCGGGAGATGAAGAGGAAGACGGAGTGACGATACTGACCGAGGAGGAGAGCAACTACTTCAAGAATGTCGTCATGGGACTGCTGGTGAGTTTACAAGTCAAATATGAATCAAATCAGGTTTTAGCCCTTCACTGACGTATAAACACTGTATACTCAGTGTGTTACCTCCCGAGTGAAAGTTGGAAAAAAAAATCACTTGGGTGGGACTCGAACCCACGACCTCCTGCTTTCTAGTGCAGACGTCTTGCCACTCGACCACCGAGCTAACGGGATCGGTTGGCTGGTTCGAATCTGATGTACATAGTAGCATTTGTAGCATATCTTGTATTTCTATTCCTTTAAACTTTGAGAGAAAAAAAGCATCTGTATTTTCTATTCTAAATGTCATCATTAACGTGCAGTATTAAAAAAAAAACACCATTTAAAGTATTCTTTAATTTCTTCAAAACTGTCCTATTGTTTGATCAGTCACAGGCAGTTAAATATTTCTTCCGCTTCTTGTGCCGTGTATTAGTATACAGACTAGTAAAAATCAGTTGGATCACATTCGTGTAAACACTGTGACTAGTCAAATTCCATCAACCGACAAAAGAGGTAACTGGTACATGCACAGCTGGCATATCAATCACCTCCAATCAAACATGGCTGCATGAAATGTAGAAGGGAATTCTTAAAGCTTTAGTCTATCATTTGCAACTATCCAAAAAGTAACTGACGTAATTATTGTTGACAAACATACTTGGTTGAAAGATAGTAAGTGGACTAAACTCTCTGTGAAATTATTCTCTCTGGTAAGCTGTCATTTTGAAGAAATCAACGAAAGAAGGCCTTTCCAATGGTGCGTCTTAAGACAAACCGTTGGAAATTTCCGTTAGTAGTTCATTTTTTTATTCAGCGAAGCGCACAAGTGTTGGCACGACACACACTGCTATACTTCGCGCGGCTGCTATAATTCGTCGGATCGGGGCGCGACAGTGGTTCTCAGTGAGAACGTGTCTCGGACGCTGAATTCAGGCCCAATTCAAAACATGATTCAGCAACTTTTGATTTGAAATTGAGATCCTAGAATGCTGTTTATCTTAAAAAAATTCAGCTGAAGCTGAGCTGAAACTTCATCAGGTTAGTTGTTCGGTACCCTTCTTTAGATTTGTAACACTTTTGTTGCTTCAAACGAACAAAATGCACAAATTACAAATGATGGACTACATATTTAACTGTTAAAAACAGTCACTAGATTGATGTTCACTGCTGTGATGACGTAACTGAATTTGCCAGCGAGAGAGGGAGGGTTCAATTAAATCTCGGCATGTGTTTGTGGACCAGTCTATTTATGGTTGCACTGTGTCGTTCAATTTACTTGCGCTTTGTTTGGCTCAGTGCTACACGTACATGTAGACATTTCAGATCCACCCACATTGCTGTCTGTCTAGGCTAAGTGGTTTATAGCATCAAGGACCGCAGACACGCCCACGTATAAAAGATAACCAAATTGAATCAGGAGAAAGTAGTGTCTTCATTGCTTGAGGCGGAGGGGTGATGTGCTCAGTGGCGTAGCCAGAATCTCATTGGGGGGGGGGGGGGGGAGGGGTGGAATTTCTGTTAAACCCGTTAACCGTTGTCACTTCAAGGGCTAACAAGTTTCCAGTTGGGGGGGGGGGGGGAACTGGGGGCGGCAATTTTTTTATGGGGGGTATGCCACCGCTAGGTGTGCTGAATTAAACAACTGAGAGGTTTGCCGTTTCATCCCTAATTATTGACCATTTCTATGCACACATTGCAAATGCAACAATATAACTCATGGAAATAAATCTTGACACAAAAGGAACCAAAAAAGCAACCCATAGAACACCTAAAAAAGCAACAAAAATACCACCCCACCAAACAACAATACCCCCCCCCCAAACCCCCCCCCCCCCAAAAAAAAACAAGGATTGTGTAAAACCTATGTCAAATTTGCTGCAAATTTGGATTTTGCACTTCACGCAAGTAACTGTTTTTGGGAAGTAGTGACAATTTATTTTTTCATGAAAAATATAATAAATGAAGAATTTGTATCTTCCTGATGCAACCCCCCCCCCCCCCAAGAAAAATGGTCAGCACTAAAATTCTGCATGACTATTCGGGTGCTGTACCGTTTTTGGGTAGTAGAATTATTTGGTAAAGAACAGTTCACCTTAACATTAATGACAGGCATGTCTTTTTGTCCAGTGGTTTGGGTGTCTGTTTTAATTCACCTTCTGTAACATACCACTCCACTGAAGTCAAGTGACGTTTGAATTGACGTCTTTGAAATGTGGGCGAATCTGGCCAAGTTCAAGTAGTCTACCCACGAGAATCATCTCATAAAGAGAAAAAAACTCAAATATAATCTCTTGTTTTGTTGCTGGAGGTCATATATATCTTTAGACGTAATCAAGATATTTATGTGTCTAGATACACAGATTATACTGTTAAAAGCTCTCACTAGCTCTAAAAATAAAGCAATCCCCTTGGACCGAATTCCCATGTTTTATCAGTCGCCACTTACTCTCTTTAAACTGCTGGGTGATATTTCCAATTACCTTTTGGTCGTCGTTGCCGTGCGTAGACGTGACCCCTCCCCCGCCCACGAGTTCCGGCAGTCTGGCCCGTGAAGTGCATCTCTGAGAGTTAAGATTGGGTCAACACCTACGTTTTGAGGGGGATAAAAAAGAAAAGAAGAAAAAATGAGAGGGAATGTGTGGAGGTGGGGGCAGAAAAAGGAAGCGCAAATTCTGTTTATTGCCACCGTTGAAAAAGAAGTAAAAGAACCTTTACCAACCTGAAAAACATGGTCTCCCACCTATCTATCATTCAGTCAGTTTTAATGTATGTTGTGTTGAGGAGGGAAAACTGCTTGAGTTGTGGAAAACACTCTGAATGTCAGCAGCCACGTTTCATTATTGTGGTAATTGGCACAGTGCGTTGGTCAATTAGTTCCGAGTCTATTTTTTTTCAAGGTCAGGAAAAAGCTGTTGATCTTGAATATCAGCTTTGTATTTAGTGTTTTTTTTTCATTGAAAAGTCATGGCATTACAGTCTAAATAAAAAAAAATGCAAAGTTCAATCTTGTTTTTCATTTGATTAAACATGTATTATTTATTTATTTTAAATTTTAGTTTACTTTATACGTTTGTCCTATAAACCACAACAGGAAACTATCTATGCTAACTTGTAATCAGTTTAAAGATGCGTGAACCATGTTCTTCAAAGAAATAATTGTGTTTGTCCTGACAATGTTTAATTGGTATGTTTTGTTTTAATGGAAAAACAACTCTCCCCCCCCCCCCCCCGATTTTGGCATTAATTTTGCACACGATGAATCCGCCCGGTGAGAGCGGAATCATTGTCGGGCCGCCAAAATAAATTCAGTAACTAAATGTAGGTGGATTTTTGTTTCGTTTGATGTCTCATTCATTCAAAAGTGAATAATAACAAATCTACTATTCAGGGTGAAACCCAAAATAGCATGGGCAATGCATCTTTAAGTTTGAAGAAAGAAATTGAGGTAAGATTTGAATCTGCGATCTTCAGAACAATGCACTAGTGCTCCACCAACTGAGCATTTAAAACCTAGTAAGTGCAGCGATCCAGAGGTTGCAGGTTTGAGTCCCACTCCAGGCAATTTCTTGATTCACACTGGTATTTATTTTTTATCACAGGGTTCACATCTTCAGTCGACTTTCTTTGTTCAACCGTGTATATCTGTTTGTGCATATTGAATTTCAGGGGGGAGGCGCAGAGACAACGGAACAGCAGAGGCAAAGGCGACTGGAGAACAACTACCAGTTTACATGGGACTCGCTGGGGACGGCAGAGCTGGGAACCAGCTCTGCGCTGGGTACCGACGCGACGACCACAGATGCGGAGGCGGAGGAAAGTGAACCTTGAATAAAAAGGTGAAACATGGATATATCCATGTTAAAAAAAAAAAATTCCCCAAAGCAGATGTTAAAATCAACTGAATAAATCTGAATTGCAAAAATGCTAAAAAAGAAAGAAAAATGTTTCAAGTTTTTAACATTGGTTTGGGTTTGTTCTCGAGGTGAAAGGTACTAGTGACAGTTTATAAAAGTTTAACCCTCCTGTTCAAATATACATTCTGGACTAAGTAGTCCTTTCAGTCAAAATCAATCAAGTGACTGTTTTCAACAGTTAAGAGCTCCCAGCCTACATAAAGCAGGATTGACTGGCTGGGACAGTTTAAGTAACTTGACACAGCTGTGCTTTGACTCCGGGTGAGTGATAAAACAGCTGTGACCACAACTTGCCTGCTTTGTCTGTTGACTGAGTTTGACTAGTCACAGTGCTTGCCTGACATATGAGCCGACTGCTGGTGACTATCCTGTGTTAAAAGTATTGCAGGGCAAGTGGATGGAAATTTTGATAGTCTGTGACTGTTTCAGACTGTTTAAACAGCAGGAGGGTTAATATTTCTTCATGTACATAAACATTTGAGGGATCTTTCTATTTTTGGGAGTGTTTGAGAGTGTTTAACATAACATTACTCTGGCTTTATTTCCCACTGCTAAGTGCTTGGAATTTATTCTTGCTCCTATTTTGTGGATTCTTTCATGGTGATACTAAGCTTGATTTAGGGTTTTGTTTAAATGAGAAAAAGTGTGCTAGTCCATGTAATGACTGCAAGGTTTCAATTTTTCCTCTTCCCATTGAAGGTTTGTTCATGGTGGTTGGGTTTATTTGAAAAAACATGCAGTATAAAAATGTTTGACGATTGCACTCTGAGAGTTAATCTTGACAAGTCCTGTGGACATGATGCACAATTTGTTTGGCTGAAAGGCAGGCTTGTATAATGGGCTCCATGCGCTAACAAGAGAGAGAGCCCTTTTTACCACTTTGGAGAACCCAGTGGACAGGACACACCGACCGCTTGCACGTATAGCACAACATATGTGTTGAGATCAAGCTACATGAGTCGTTTGTCGGGAATTTTTATTTGGAGATACAGGTCAAAATAGGGCCACTTCATCACATCTCTTGGTTTTCCAACTTCCATAATTTTTGAACTAAAGATGGTATCAGCATGCGGTTTTCACAGCAGTGATGCTTAGATTGTGCTATTTTCAAATCTGTAATAAAAAAAAAATGACCAGAGTCGACAAACGACTCATAGCTTGATCGCATCACATACAATGTATGTAAGACTAATTCTAGTCTTCGCGTGAGTGTCAGGCATCATCAGAAAAGTATTGAAATGTCTCTCCCAGTGGTCTCCCCCAACTCTCCCTTTCTTACCGTTGAGGGGGTACTTGTGCACTGAGCCCATAGTAACAAAGACTATTTTGACTACTGTTCTACTTCACAAAAAAGGTGCGGTTAGTCGGGTGCTACTGAAGCTGTGAGACAGTATTGGCAGTGTGCAAGACTTACAATGGTGGATAGTACAAAATTGTGGTAATTCCATTTTTTTTCAATGCTATCCTACATATCTTTTGGACTTTCAACAAATAAGCCAGTTTAGTATTCCAACTGCACATGTGCACATCAAGATTTGACGATTTGTCTTTCGGAATAAACATTTCATCATATGCATGGAAAAGCATAGCGGGGTACCAGCAAAATTGAAGAGATCGTCGTGTTCTGAAGTAACATTTTGCAAAAAAAAAATGTGGACATCAAAGTGTGTTTTAGGTGTCTGGTGTGTCCAAACTTTTGTGCGAATGAGAGTTTCCATCTCTTTTCGATTGCACGAGAAATTTAATACACAAAATGCAGATTCGGTTACCACGTCCCCCATAGCTTTGTGTGCATTTATCTGCCGCGTTTATCCTGAATCAAAAATCGTCGAATCTTGTTGTGCACCAGACTATTTTGGACTACTGAACTGGCTTATTGTTGGCCAGTGCCTCACCTCAGGTTTCATGCATCCCTTGGGGTGTCATTTTGTGGCCGAAATCAGCCAAAATACAGGCATGCAACCTCTCCCTTGGATGAGCTGATTTCTTTGTTTTCACTTCACACTTATGCTATCAAAAATTAAAAGAAAAAAAAATAATTGGAAAAAAAAAGTCTTGTACAGCTTAGAAGTTTCTCTCTTCTTTTGGTTACTTCTCAGTTGCATGCCTGAATATGGTGCTGCTGGAAAATTGTGCAGATGATAAAAATAGCAAATTTGTCTCTCTTTTAGTAACTGGTAGTTTTTTCGGGTTTGGTTTGCAATTGTTGTTGTTATATATGTTTATTGTATTTACTCCAATTTGGATTCTACTTATATGTGTATTTATTTTTTCCTTTGAATTTCATTCATTTCCATTGAATTTTTATTTCCATGCATTGTGTTTCTTTGTCCAATATTTCTGTTGTAAACAAATTGTAAAATATAAAAAAAGACTAAATTATTATTTCGAAAAAAAATTATATGTATATACAGAAATAGAAAAGTCTTATTGTTGGAAGTTATATTGAAAAATTAACAAAAATTATATTCAAAATAATTTGTTGGGTCATTTTTCTCATTTTGAAGTTAAAGAGTATTTTCACGCTTTTATTTTATGCAAACTTTTGTGGCAAAATAGATCTTACATGTATGTATTAAAAGGCTGATATAGAGTCATGGAATAATGCTTAATAAAACGGGGACAGTTTTCATAACTTCAAAAACATAGTCACAGTCTGAGATATATGGAAACCTGTCTTTTGCATGAAATTAACCCTAACTCCCTAGGCATTTTTGCTAGGATGCAACCTCAATCCTGCAAAATCCTCCAACTGCCTCCATGTACAAATTGTTTACAGCCAAAACCCTTCGTTGTTTCTTGAATGTGGTCCTTGGAGGGGTGACCACTGCCTCAATCCTGCAAAATCCTCAGGCAATCACTGTCAGTATGCCAGTGACATCCTGGAGCATTGTGGAGGATTTCAAGTACAATATAGGCCTGAATTTATGCACGGCTGAGCATAAACAACACAAGGTCCGACCTAAGACCTTAGCACAGTACATACTCCAAAATCAGCTGCACATTTTTGCCATAAAGCCTCAATCCTGCAAAATCCTCCATTGTGCAAAGACGCTTTTTGGAGGATTTGGGCAGGATAGGTTTAATGGACATTCCATTTGATTTTGCAAACCATTTATGGGCAACCGTGGGGGCTATTTGTGTACCCAAAGGTTGAATTAGCTGACATGACATTTTTAGAATTTCTTTAAACATGGTTTAGATGTTTTAACCGATGAAAGTTGACGTGCACAATTTGTACTTTCTTACACCCAGTACCCAAACCCCCTCGTAAGTTTGAAAAGTACTCATTTTAAGGGCAGCAATTCTTGAATTTGTAAAATTAGCTATATTTTTGAACATACTTAAAAAAGAACTACATTGGCCTATATTATGTGGGCCAAATTTCATGGTCTGGCTAAGCAGAAGATTATTGTTCAGCAAATTGAGCCAGGCAAAAATCAGCTAAGAACCAAAAATAATCAATAAATGTTCCACATTTTGAATTTTGGCTTTTTTGTTTTGCAGCTTAAATAATTTCTTTGTCCATGAAATTGGCCTAAGATTGTTCACTACTTTTTGATGCTTGCCAAGGGATGGGGAATAAAAAATCAAAGGACAATGCATAAATGACATTAAACTTGTTTTTAAATCAATAAATTAAAGTGGTCGGATATTTCAGCCTTTAATAGCAAGGCCTTCTTCAGAGGCAAATGACAGCCTTCTTCAGAGGCAAATGATGTTGCTCGTTCCTCTGTCATTTGCCTCTGAAGAAAGCCTTGCTAAAGCCGAAATATAAGGCTATTTTAATTTTTTTTATTTGCACATTTCAGGTCAATCCAGTTAGTTTAGCAGTTTGCAGCAGTTTGATTTATTTTCATGTTTAAACTTGTGTTTGTTTAAAATTACATTTAATATCAAGATCTGATGATCTTGATGTTAAAGGGAAAATACAACATTTGCAAACATCAAAAAATAAAACTACCAAATCATTTTGAAATACCTTGCTGGACTGTTAGTGAATGACAGTGTAAAGCATCCTGTAAAATCATGGCACCTGGTATACTGTCATTTTTAAGAAAAGTGGTATTTTTGTATCAATTTCCAACGCTGATCGGCCGATCAGCGTTGGAAAAAACTGGCTTTTTTTCAAATATTGGCCCCAGTTGACCATCGCACTTGTTTGCAATCGATTACACACCTATGAACGGGTACAAGCCAGCTAGACTGGTTCCCTGACCTTACAATTCCCCAATATATGTAAACTGCTCTGTTTCTTCTTAAATGGAGTCAGGGAACCAGACTACAGGAAAACGATTGTTTTTCTTGGTTTTTATAGCATTTTCGAACCCAAAACCTCAAAAAAGTCAGTGTAACTATATTTGCTATATATTTCCAACCCCCCAATTCCATCAATTTCTGAAAATTACAGCAAAAGCAAATGATGTATATTCCCTTTAACAAATTAATACGTCCTGGTAGATCTACATCCCAACTTGTATTCTTGTAAATGTTGGGAATTGGGTGCAGCTGTGCTGTTGTGTACAAAAGATGGCAGAGTTGAGTTTTATTCTGATGTATTTCAGGCATGTAGTTTCAAAGAAAACAAAATGACTGTCAGCTGAAGAGGGTTATAGGGGAGTGTTGGGCCATACATTTAAGATCATTTACAGACTTTGCAGATACATGGCTGCGTTGTGAATACTTAATACTTCGGGTACATGCAAATGTGAGGCGAATCTAATGTCATGAATCATAACTCGCATAACTTGCATTAATCTCTACATTCATTCTGAGTAGACTTTAGTATATGGTCTATGTAAAAGAAAGGACACTGCTGGGCAAAATAACTGCTTGCAAGTGATGCAAAAAGGGACATTTGTTTGAATTCCAATTTATGCAATATGAAGTGCGTGGTTCACTGTTACAAGATGAGCCAAAAATGTACACAAGGATACTGTTGACGGCAGTAGTACTTTTTAGGACCCCTTTCCTTTTCGAATGAAACCCTTTCTTATGTATTGAACTCACTTAAACAGCTGGCGAAGCCCAGATTAAATTTTTCTTTGTGATTCATGGCTCTGAAAGATTTGTTTTTAATTTAGGGGAAGTAAAGTCCGGGAACCATTCGGTTGACAATTGACGCATGAGCAATGGTTGTCTTCTGTAAAAATAGCGTTGGCTAAAGAATCGAGGGGTCCTGAATGTTACTAATGTTGTCTTTCCAAAATATGGAAGAATGTAGTATCCAGACGCCACTTCTCTGGCTGTGTACAAAGTCTATGGCGAGTTCAGTGCATTTTAGCAAAGTTTTTTTCCCAACAAACTTGGAAATGTTTCTCAGTCCCAGATTCATGTCTTTGCAGCATTTTTGCAATGACTGACCTTCATTGAGATAAAATATGATGAAAAAATGGCGTCAGGATGCAACATTCTTCAAAAAATGTTGATAAATAAGCCAATTTGACTTCTCGTGCGAGCAATGAATGGTGGGAGAGATTTTTATGGATAAACAAACCCATGTGATGCTGTAAACTTGCTATCTATTGGGCAAGGACAGAGTGTGGTGTTTTGTTTATCCCAAAAAATTGCATTCACTTCACTTCATTTTCAACAAAAGTACAAAAGTGTTTGAATGTCGGTTGTTATTTTACCATAATACATGTGGTTGGGATGCCTAAAAGGAAAAAATTCCATACTGGGCCACCACTCAGAGCTCCTGCACAAAGTCTATGGGCCATGACAGAACTTTTTAAAGTATTATCAAAGAATTTTTGCACTCTTTATACAGTGGTTCTTCATCAGATTTACAACTTTTGGTACTTTTCAGGTCATATTGAGGAATATGAGTGGTGGCCCAGTATGGAATTTATTGGCTTATTATAATATAGACTGATATACTTGCCTTGTTCTGTACCTTGTTGCTACCATGTTGAATGCATCTTCAGTCAAGCTGTCTGTTCTCAAATGAGATTCCCATCTTCACTGCCACCAACTAAAATGTCAAATTTTTGGTGTCCAGTTCTTGATGTCCAGTTCTTCAGCGTGTTTCTATTCCTTAAATGATATCTGTAGTCATTTGTTCCTCCTTGTTTGTGCAGCTGAAATCTAGATTTCTGTTCAACCACTGGCAGAATGCATAAAGTTAGTGTGGGCAAATTTTTTGACCACTGTCTGTGCTGGGAATAGCAATTGCCAATACTTTTCACTGTAATGTAAGAATTGGTCGGTTCCTATACTTTATATTGTACAAAACATATTAAATGACTGGCCACCAGGGAAATTTCTTCTAATTTGATTGGCTGGGGTTCTTTTCACTGGTAATCATATTCTTTTGGAGATTTAAACTCTTAAAGCATGGTACCAGTTGCAAAGTATTTCACTAATTTTTAATGTGAATTCGAAATCGTCATAAATTAGTGGGCAAAAAGATTAAACTGTTATGGTATGCAATGTAACCATTTGGTCTTGTAACTGTTTTAGATTATTTGTTTTTCCTTTTTGTCTCAATAAATGTGTGAAGGAAGATAATGTAATTTCTGTCGTCTGTCATATTCTTAAAGGGAATGTACAAAATTTGCTTTTGCTACAATTTTCAGAAATAAATGGATTTGGAGGATTAGTATGTTACAGCATATATTGTGAAACTGACTTGCTTCACGTTTTGGATTCAGAGATGCTGGGAAATCCAAGAAAACCAACCATGTTCTTGGAGTCTGGTTCCCTGACCCCACTTAAGATGAAACGGAGCAATTTATTGACTTTTGGGAATTGTAAGGTCAGAGAATCAGTCTAGCAGGCTTGTACCCCTTCACAGGTGAGTAATCAATTGCAAAGAAAGTGCGGAATAACTAAATGTGAAAAATGAGGAGCAGTTTTTAAAAAAGGCCAGTTTTCTCCAACGCTGATCGGCCGACCAGCGTTGGAAAAACACAAGTTTTCTTGAAAATGTTGGCACACCAGGAGCCACGATTTTACAGGAAACTTTTAGACTGTCATTCCCTAACAATCCAGTAAGATATTTTGTGATAATTTGATCATTTTGTTTTTTGATGTTTGCAAATGCTGTATCTTCCCTTTAAAGCTTTTCAAAGAAAAAAAAACTCTATGAAGAAAGAAATAGCTCAGCAGTCATTCCGTGGTTTTCACAATGCCATCGTACAGACTTTGTTCCACTGTTTTATTTTCTGTGAAAAATAATATATGTAGTATACAGGCAGGGTACAATGCAATGTCGAAGGAATAATATATTTATGTACAAATAGTACTTGTTACTGAGTTTACAGTGAATGCTATCATAAACCATAGTTTGCAAATATTTTTGAAGATAGAAAAATATTCATTTACACTCTGCTTAAACTTCAGTCGTTTCCTTAACTTTACACCGACAGCTGCCATTTTGTTTTTTTATATAAACACTTTGCTAAACATATCACTGTGGTTACCAATGAAAAATCGGGCACCAGGGAATATGTCAACCCGTCTCCTTTTCTGTAGATTTTACACATTACAAAGTCATTGAGAGAATAGGAAGTGGCCTTACTTACAAGTGAAACAAAAAAATCTTGTTCTGGCAAAATGAGACAGAGCTGGGCAGAGTTCGAAATGAGGGTTTTGTGGATATTAGGAAAGAGAATAAAATTCTCCTGACAATACTGTTTGCTGTACTTCAGTTGGACATTCAGTTGACAACTTACGGCTGTTTAAAGTTTGCACTTACCGACATTTCAAAAAGTAAAATACTAAGCAAACGGCCTTAAAAGTTTCCAGTTTTGTAATTGTGCAAATGAAAGATGCCAATTGGTTTTCCTTAAAAACACTTTTATTCTACAATTTTTATACTTTTTTTTTTTTAAATATGTGTAGTGGTCAAAGGTTATTAAACATCAATAAATCTGAAAATCTTAAAGAAAACACCATCATTTTTAATTTCTTTTGCATTTTTCTCCACTGCCTGTGCCCAGTTCCATCTAATTTTGCCAGAGAACGCCTCACATATTCTCATACTCCCCTCAAAAGAACAACAAAAAGGCAAAACAGCCAACCACAAACAACAGATTTGGGACGTGAATTGGGAGCGCCTTTTTTTATGTGAAAAGTTCCATCTTGCTGATAACCTCCAAATATCTTAGCATTCTTCCATTTTTTACAAATAAAAATTGGTTATATACTAGTGCAGGAATAATACAAACTTGAAACAGTGTCAATGGAAACAATGTCTTTCTTTTCTATTTTTTTAAGGGGGGGGGGGGGTGGGGATGGGGGGTTGGTGCCTGACTTATCCAAATATCATAAACAAATTTCATGGCGACGCCAAGCACAGCGCTGCCAAGCTCAGAACTGAACTCGGCACGGAAAGTTTTTTTTAGCAAAAATTGGAAAACAGCAAAGAGTTGTGTAATGCTTATTGCTACTAGCTGATTCGCTGCTAGTTTTTTTTCCCTCTACTAAGCACCTATGTTTTCATTTTTATTTAATTGGTTTAATTTGTTAGCTTTGCAGCCCAATCAAATTGGAACCTGATTCAAATAAGAAATGTACCTAGTTTACACACAGCGTTCCAAATTTCGGCTCCATTTCTCACAATTCCGTCGGATAAAGTCATTGAAAACACATACGATTTGACTTTTCTTCTGGTGTTCATAAACAGGTAGTCCCAGATTGCCACAAAGCCACAAGAATACTTTTCAAAGCATGAATACACAAAAGTGTGTGATGAATTAAAAACTTTATCTGTAATTGTAATTTCTTTTTCAAATAAGTTCACTTTTGTCTATCTGAAAATACCTTACGAGACCGAGTGAAAACTTTTGGGCAACAATGCTACCAACAAAACGAAGTAATAATGTCCAATATTTCAGCTTTGATGCCTCTATTTCAGTTTGCATGAATTTTGAAGTACGAATGTAAACCCCCCCCCCCCAAAAAAAATTAAAGAGAAAGTTCGGGACAGGTTCGAGTCCCAATATAAGCAAGTCTGTAGGTTTTCTTTTCAAAGGCCGATAATACGGAACAAAAATTGATTAAAGATGCATTCCCCATTCAATTTTTGAGTTGCGCCTTGAAGAACAGATTTCTTGTTTTTTCAATTGCCATTTTCCTAGCAATGGAAAGTTACTAATTTTTGAATGAGACAGCTAATGAAAAAAACACCGATAATTAGTTTAATACTAAATGATTTCTTCACACAATTTGAAGTATTAGCTGCCAGACAATAACTTGGCTCTCGTAGGGCGGGTTCATATTGGCGCAAAAATGAAACCCCTTTTTAGAGGCTTGCAGATGCCAAAAATCAGAATAAAGAAGTTTTTTTTGTCAAAACAAAACATACAAATTGAAACTTCGTCCATACTTTTGAAAGCACGGAGTATTCAACTTAACATCACTGAAGGGAAAACTACACACTGGAAAATTGTTGGGGAATGCTTTCTTAATGCCCACAAAAAAATACTAAATAAATAACAAACAAAAAAATTAATAAATTCAGAAATACATGTATAGCATAATCTGGAAGGAATCGTGTTTCTAAAAACAATGAATTTTGTATATGGAGGCTGTTGTCTGTTGAGAATTCAAAAAATGGTGTATTGCCAATACAGGATTTTTTTAAAGGCCAATCAAAATCAGTGAGAACAAGCTTAAGTTGGTGAAGATTAAATGGCAGTTCCAAGTTTGAATATAAAATATTTATGTACTGATACGTTTAAGGTTATCCATACTCTTTAATATCACTGGTAAGATTACATTTCATTTCATGAAAACTGGATAATATTAAAGGACAAACAGTTAAAATGTACTTTGTCTGTTAAGTTAAAACCTTCCAAATTCTCAGTCGAATTCTGTCATAAAATCACTCACAAGAATACTGGCAAATGTGTGCTAGCGCACGGCTGACTTGGGTCCCGTTGTGCACTCTGCCAATCTTAAGTAAGTCGCAAGGGGATCGTAAGGTTTATCGCAATCAGTCTCAATCCTTCTTGTGTCTGGTCTAGTCTTGGATGTTCCATGGTTAGCTGCATTGGTTTCATCTCGTTTGAGTTTGCTGTCAGTTGGCTCTGAGCAATTATTGTTCATCAGTTTGTACTCCGCCTCTTCAAAGCAGGTTAGTAATCTCGACTCAGGGTTTTCTTTAGACGGGGACCTTGACAGGCCGCATTGTTTGTTATTGCAGTTGCTCCTGTCTGGGGTACATGTATGACTCAATGCCAATTCGTTCACAGAGACTGCATTGATGAGTAAACAGGGCACGTTCTCTTTCCTTAATTTGCTGCGGGGCGGTGCCTCGATCGGCTCTGTCCTTCTGTGCGGCGACGGTGGCGCACTGTGGATGTTGGCCGGCTCAGTGCGGCTCCGGAGGAGTATCCTTGGTTTGAGGTCTCGCCTGCAGTCCGGCGGCGACTGGCCGCTGTAGTCAGACAATGGTGGGACCGCGTTTCGGGACGAGGGGGACAGCTGCTGGGACAACCTGGCATCCAGGACTCTCTGCATCTCGCAGAGTTTCTGGTGCTCCCTGTGTCTCAGGCACATGGCGATGTAGTCGGTGGACACGCACACCATCTCTTTGCTGTTGTTGTATGCGTTCTCCCTCAAGGAGGGGCTGCTTTGGCAACGTTTTGGGCTGGCCGATGATGAGCATCCGCAGATCCCAAGCACGTTGGAGTTGACGTCCAACAGGCACTTGCGTTCCTCCTCGCGCTGCTGCGCCGCGCTCTCTTGCGTCTCCTCCCGATTGGAGACAAATACGCCGTCGGTGTCCGAGCAGCCCAGGTTGCAGAAGGCCCCGCTGTTCTTACACTTCTGCTGCCACTCCTTCAGGTTACAAACCAGCGATGCGGGAATATAGCCCAGGTCCTGCTGCAGATTGTAGGCAAACCACCAGTTCTTGCTCTCCTTCTGCAAGACGGTCAGCACCTCTCCCTTCTGGAAGCTCAGGGCTTGTAGATCGTCACCCGCCGTGAACTCCTCCAACGCGATGTACTCACGGTTGTCCATGTGCAAGGGGATGTAGTTGTGGTTGATTTTGGATCGCGTCATGGCAGTCAGGGGTGCCGTTACCGTGACTGGGATCGTCCGAAGAAGGCCATCCTTCAATATTAATCCTGAATGAAAAACAAAAACCAATGAATTAAACATCAATTACCTTTATAGTGGACATGGGGAAACAAACAGATCATATCAAAACAGATGTTTTGTTTAAAACTTGAAAAAAATTAACAATCACCGCATCTGTGATGACAGAAATGTTTCCACTTTTGGCAGATCATGGCAGATCATGGCAATTTTGGCAGCTCATGAGCATTTTTGGCCCAGTCTTCTGAGCAATTCACTGACCGATTAACTGACTGACTGACTTATTGAAACCGTGTCTTCAAATAAAGCCCTCAAATAATGCAATAGACTTTCAGGTCCAGCTGGACTCGGAAAGCCTAGTGTTTTTTTTTGTTTTACCTGATTCATCTAGAGGTGATCCCCGATAGCACTGGACCAGGCTGCACAGATCCCTGGCCTGTATGTCCCGACCTCGTTCCTGACATCGGTCCCGCCGGACGTAGAACATGGACTCCAGCGTCTCCACCAGGTAATGGTTGACCGTCATACCGGTGCAGACTGAGATGACAAAGTGACCTGCGGGAAAGAATAAGGATGGAAAAATAGTTGATCATCAATTTTAAGGGCCCAAATTGTGGATGGAGCCTATTAACCTTAACCCTCAGGGGCTCATTTGAATAAATGTTTGTAGAATCTTGTTGAATTGAGTTTGTTTCTGCATTCAATAGGGGACGTTGAACAAAAGAGGACAATAGGGTCCCCATTCCCGAGAGGTCCTCTATTTAGATTCGTGTACAAAACATGTGGGAGGTCTTCCTAAAAAGAGTACAAACAAAAGAGGGACAATAGGGGGTCCCCGACTGCAGGCAATTGGGTGAGCATAGCTACAACCAAAATGTAGGGTTAAATCTGGATAATACAGGGTGAGTAAAACAAACCTGAAACCCAAATGGCAGGACCAATTCCTGAATGAAGTTTTGCCTCAAGCACATTCCAAATCTAGGATATGAAAGCCCAATCAATAAGCTTTCTTTTTAATAATACAAGAATCATTCAAATCACTCATGTACTTTTTAAGTTAGGGAATTTTGAACACAAACACTGTTTTAAAGTTCTGTCCATGGATCACGAAAAAGGTAAGTGTTCTTCCAACAAGACAAAAACAATTCACAAAGGGATGTGTGTGAATCGATTTCGTTTTGCCGAAAGAACACTTACTTTTTTTGTGTGATCCATGGACAGAACTTTAAAACGGTGTTTGTGTTGAACATTCCCTAACTTGAAAAGTATATGAGCGATTTGAATGATTCTTGTACTAAAAGAAAGTTTATTGATTGGGCTATTATAATGTTAGATTATAAAAGTGCTACAGGCAAAACTTCATTCCAAAATTAGTCCTGCCATTTGGATTTTGTTTTTTTGACTCACCCTGTATAACGCCAACACTTGGGTCATGTCCATGCAAACAGTGCAATCATCAACTTTTTTCATAAGTGGGAGATATTCTTTATGATCATCGATGGGTAGCCGACTTTGTCCAAAATCAAGAAGCAAAATAATGGGAATAGTAGGTTGGCCGTTCAATATTGGTCACTCACCCCCTCTGTTGCTGCTCTGCCGGACCAGAAACAAACCCTCGGCCGACTGCGGGTTCTTCAACAGTAAATCCTCGGCCACGCTTCGTGCCAATAGGCCGTGGAACCACAGCGGGACGCCCTCTGGCGTCGACGGCCGGCCAGTCAGCCTGCTCGAAGGGGGTGAGAGGCACGAGGCGGACGTGATGGGTGCCGTGCACTGATGCTTGGAGCTCGACATATTTCAGTTCTGCAGAAAAGAGAAAAAAAGGGAAAAAAAGGAAAATTTTAAGGACGTTTCTAAATTTGCTGCCACAGCTGAAAAGTCGAATTTGTGAAAATTAACGATTAAGAAGGATAAATACATAATACATATTTACACAAGGGTTTAAGCGATGCAATTATTCACAGCATAACCCTACAATAACTTACACTCCCTTGGTGATTTACAATCAAGTTAATCTCAAATCAAAGCCATATCACTGACAAGACAAAAGAACGAACAAGGGATGAATAAGACAAAAGAATGTCTTTTTGTAACGGTTCATTTGAGCAGCTTGTTACAAGACATGAGACTGGACAACATTTCAGTTGACCAATTATGTGAGGATATTACTTCAACTCTGGGTTGAGTCCAAAGTTGTCATCCTCTGCTTTGAAGTGAATCTTGAATCTTGAAAATATGACCAAGACAAAAGGTTACAATCCATCCAATCAATACATTACATTACAACATTACAGACCGGCATCATTCCACAATACCAACTGTCCAGAGAACAGCACAAGACAACCGTGGGATGACCGCCCACGTACAAGCTTTGCTCCTCGGCAAGCAAAATGACCAACTCCATCCAAGATTTCCTTTCACTTTGTGTATCCTCCTCCTCCGCCACAAATGTTATATTCACATTCCATTGTTAGCCTTTTCCCTTCTTTTTTTTCCCTCCTCATTTCCTCCATGGTCTTTATCAGTGTGGAGTGACTCCAGATGACTCCAGACCTTACACCTTAGTCACAAACCACAAAATAACCTCGCAAATTGTAATGATGATAGCTTGTACTTTAGGGGCAGTGTTATGACGCAATATCAAGACCGCTCTACACATTTACAGGTCATGGTGTGGTCTGACGTACTTTCTCTGTAATTTCTTCTGTTACCGCCAAAGCCTGCGATGTATCAACGTCAAAACCTTTCCTCAGACTTTTGCTAAAGTGAACCGAAGGTGAGAGAGATGAGGGGGTGGGGGTGGCAGAAGGGATGATGCTTTAAACATCTGGTTTGGTACTTCACAGTTCACGACAGAGGACGAACAAGAAGAAGAAGAAACTAGAGTAAAATAAGGCAGGGCAAGGACATGTGGCAACTAAGATAGGTTGTCTCTCCACAGGAATATAAATAAAGATCCGTTATATCACACAGGCCAGTTTGGGCGGAAGCGCGGGGCTCATGGAGAATTCCAATAAAGTGAGTGGGCTTGCGGAGTCTAGCTCTCCGTGATTTGATTACCGCAGTTTTTTTTTTTCTTCTTTTTTTTTCTCCCAGCTTATGATGGAATGCCGCCATACACTGGATAGGGCGGCAAAGGCAGTGGCTGTTACGGTAATTAATTATGCAAATTTGGCCGGCAATCAAGTTGGGATGCATGAGAGGAGAATTGTGGGGAGGGGGGGGGGGTTTAGTTGTCGGAGGGGAAAAGTACTTGAACTCATGAGTTTCATAACGGCTGATTATGATTCGAATTTGATTCGGTTCATATTTTGTTACTTTAGGTACTTAACATACATGTACTTGTTATGTTTATTGTTCATGGGGTGGATTTGATTGCGTCATAGCATTTGACAAATTTGTTAATCACACAAAATTGACACTTTAAATATTTGTTTTTCCGAATGTAACATGTACATGTATGCATTAAGACATTTCGCCTGACTTTTGAAATTCTGATCCGACTCCCGGTGTATGCAATTTTATGCTGCCACTTTTTTCACACTATCTTGTTAAAAGTGTTCATCTGGCAGTGAAACTTAAAAGATTGAAATAGTATGTGTGCAATTTTATGCTGCCACTTTTTTCACACTATCTTGTTAAAAGTGTTCATCTGGCAGTGAAACTTAAAAGATTGAAATAGATAATACTGAAAAATGATTTATGTTTTGCATGGTACAATCTGTATCTCACAGTAGACTTATGTCTCGTGCAATGTCTGCCATAACGTACCTCATGCAAAAACACTAGCAATTCAATTTGAAATTGTTTTTAAAATGCACCGTGATACAATATTAGATTGGGCCAATTTCTCTGCTCAAGTATGCTGTCAAATTGCACTTTATCATCCATGTGCTTTTTCTTACAACCTTAAAATTGGAATCCTTTTTTGCTTCAATTTTGCTTCAATGATAATCTGCAATTATTTTAGTATTACCTCTGCGAACTGTTCCTTATATGGGCAATTTTAGCATCACAAACATTACATTACATTCCTGCGTCACGGGCATTAGCATGGCTAATTGGCTCTGTCACGGACATTACAAATTAAAAAAAAATATTAATGCCCGTGACAGAGGTAATTGACCATGATATCTAATTAACGATTCTGAGAAATCGTTCAAAACTCCTAGTCTGAAATCTCCTTGATTATTACTAGATGATGGGGAAACATTTTCAGGTTGATTAACTGAGCTCCCAAAGTACGAAAAAATATGGTCTGACTTGTAAAGTCTGTGAGGCTGCAATTGCCCATATATTTAAAGTTAATAGACAACATTTGATTTTGCTGTAATTTTCAGTAATGGTTGGATTTGGGGGTTAGTATTTTATAGCAAATATTGTCACACTGACCTGTTTTGTGTGTTCATAGATGCTGGAAAAACCCAGAAAAAAAATGTTGTTTTTTGTAGTCTGGTTCCGTGACCCTGCTTCAAACGAAACAGAGCAATTTATAGATGTCGGGGGAATTTTTGGAACAGGGAATCAGACCCGTTCGCGAATGTGTAACCGACTGCAAACAAAATGTGGACTAACTAAATTTGGTGAATTGGGGGCAGTATTTGAAGAAAGTCATTTTGTTTCCAACAATGGTCAGCTGACCATCGCTGGAAATTGAAACGAAAATTCCACTTTTCTTGAAAATGACAGCACGCTTGAGATTATTATTCACTAACAGTCAAGTAAGGCATTTCATATTAATTTGGTAGTTTTGTTTTTTATTTTTGCAAATATTATGTATATTACCGGTACCTTTAAAAGCCAAAAAAAAAAAAAAAAAAAACCCACTGCATTTCACTAATTTATATGACATTCATTACATTTTTTGTCCAGGTACAGCATTTCCACAGGAAGGTTATGATAACACATCACAAAAGACATTCAATCCTAACCAAACTGTTTGTCTAGACTTGTTTTGCACAGAGTTCTGCAGATTTCACAGCTCTGTTGCTGCCCTAGAAAGAAAGAGTAAGTTTAGGAGGCAACCTTTTACGGAAGAAAGTAGGATAAGGAAACAAAACGGGGGAAAAACCCACAAGCAGCATAAAGTTGTAGATGCAAAGTTATCACAAGGAAAAATAGAGTGTAACTCGAGGCGCATGCAAAAAAAACCTGAACATCTCCAAAACTGTCGGATCTTGCAAGACAGACCGTTGGGAATTGCGAAAGGCAACGAAACCTTAGACAGTTTCCATTTATCGGGACTGGCCATATAGAAAATCTCAACAATACCTACATGTGTACACTAGCGGGTCTATACAGGTACATACGTAAACGGCCAGACGGAACCGATCCGAATGTGTGTTGATATATATATATTTTTTAACGTCCCTGGAAGATTGGAGCAGATTTCGGAGGGAGATTTTGATCCATCCTGGCGATATATAAAACTTGTTTTTCCGGGCGCTCTCGAAAATAGAAGTTTAAACGTGTCTTACACGTGCGTGTTCTTTTTCAGTTTTAAGAAGTTCCGGTTATTAAAGGGCAAAGCGGCAGCCTGTCGCGAATAGATGCCCATGTAACACAACGACCTTAATTATATTTGGAAACTTATAAGGTAAAGAAGACTGTCACAAACAAGGGCAAGTCTGAACAAAAAAGTAGAGGACGAATGATGTGGCACGCGCACATCCACCAAGACTTACATTTGCGATTCTTGGACAAGTAATAATTTTTTTTTAAACTTAATTTCTCAAAGTCATAACAACAAAAATGGCGCTGCCCCCACTTTTTTAAACTTTGTTTTCATAGGCCATATCAATGAAAACATTTAAAACTTTTTGACAAGAATAACTGAAAAATTCAAACACTTTCTGTTTAAAAAAACAAATTCACTTTTTCAAAATAACGATAAAACTGCAGTAAGTCAGAAATAAAAACAACTGACATTTAGCACTTTAATTAGGGTTGAGATTAAGGAAAAGGCCAAATCCTCGAAACGATCGGCACAGGTTTGGGTGCCAGTGCGAGGGTCCCAGACCTAGTGGGTCTATGGTATATATTTGCATGAGCCTATAGGCATCCATTAAAATACCAATTTCTTCATGTTCTTCATGTTGTATTTACATTTATCTATAGAAACATGTAAAGACACCTTTATGGTAAAACCTCAGGAATTCCAGATTTAAAAAGGGAGTTTTAAAAAAATCCTGACATCCAGAAAAATCCTGACAAATCTCACCCCTGATCTGATGAAGTAGTGGTTTACCACAAAAGCTACTTTTTTATGTTTCATATTTCACGCATATGAAAATGCAAAGCACACTTGATGCCAGTTGAACGGTGTTTAATCTTGTGAATTCGCAGCACAAATGTTAAAATGTGTCATTGCAAATTGCACATTTGAACCAACTACAGAATGGACCTTATTATTAGAGTGATACTTATAAATGTTAGCTGTATAACAATAAATGGCTATTCCCTACAAGAACATTGGAAAAAAAGATACAATGTACTACTGGTTTTTCCCAAAACATTTTTTTTTTGGTTATACATTTCTTAACAATCCTTACCATTAATTGCTTGTTCAAGTGTTGAATTAATTCTTAACAACTAAAGTGGGCAACAAAATTACTAGGCAACAGATCGACAAGGAGTGGTGGATATTTCCAAGACAATCTGAGACAATTACTGGAAGATTATTTATATTAACATTAAAGTTCTTTAATTATATTTAACAATTAGTCAACATTACCAAAAAAACTAAAAGTTTTTTCAGAAAAAATAAGTTCATTAAAAAGATAAAAAAAAAATATTTATGTAACTTTAAAAAAACAAACAAACAAACATACCTCTTTAGTAGCAAGATAATCCTACATTACATCCATTTATATTCCTGGTTTCTTTCAAGCTTCGCTAACGATCGCTTTTCTCAACTCGGACATCCTACGCCGACACACTCACACAGCACACAAAAAGTATAATCCACTGTCATCATTGGTGACAAGACTACAAATGCCTATAATCCAACCACTGCTGGATCACTATACAGAGCTGCGTCCACACCAACCGTCCAATCAGCAGCCAGCATCAAAGGACTACTACGCACCATTTCCTGTTTATTCATTCACCCGACCGACCAATCAGATTGGGGCCTCACTGTGGGACTGGCGATCAGACTTTGTTACAAAGGACATTGAATTCAATCAGTGTTTGGTCACTCAATGCTGCAGTGTGTCCTTGTCCTATGCATGGCCCGGTTATTTTGACAACCGGACGATTACACTACTGAAGGACCCATACCTTCCATTATTTGTAAACTGCCCCACTACTTGAATAGCCCTTAAATTACAATGTAACAGAAGTGACGATTACGACAACATAATACTCCCCCCCCCCCCCCAAAAGGAAACCAACCGGACAAAATACTTCTTGATCTAAAGCAGAGAGAAGAGTTGAGTTTTGGTTGTCAAGCAGCAAGGGTAGTGCAAAGTAATCCCTCTTCATTGAAAAAGAAGAGAAAAAAGGTAGTTGACAGTGCAGCTGTTTTAATGACTTAAGGTATTTGTCCCCACCCCGAGGCTTTTTTTGGACACAATGGGGGGAAGAAAGAGTAGAGAGTTCCGAGTGAAGAAGTCACAAGGTTAGTGCTTGCGTCACAACATGTTGGAGTAAGAAGAGCTGCCAGTGGGGGGTGGAGGGGGTGGGTAGAGGGGCGATGGGAGGGGTGGAGGGGGGGGGGTGGGGGTTGGGTGTTGGGAGAAGTGTCAACGTGGATATGTAAAATAGGTAATGCCAGATTTGGAAAGGAGTTTTATTCCACAAAAACGGATTGGATAGCAGTTTCAATTTACTTTTCAAAACAACAACGAAACTTTTCTTCTGGTTATCATAAACACTGTGATCAAGTTATGCACGTGTTACAATTACCACGGTTTTCTTAAAATAGCTATGTTTGATTTTTATTACGGATTTGTGAATTGGTTACTTCAACTGATTTTCGCTTTCCTTTTCATGATTCCATCATGCCTAGAATTGTGCATCATCATCTTTAAGAGCCATAAGGGCAACAAAGAAAAATTACATGAAAAATCAAATAAGTTCGAATAATTCACAGCTTTTTGCTAGAACATCTTATTATTTTTTTAATGACAATTTCAAGAGAATGTTTTTTCCTTCATAATTGTCCAATTACTGATTCTCAACCTCTTTCCCAGTTCCATTAACATGGTTCATTTTTGAGCGTGTATCTCTATTTTTTCTTCTTTTTTAAATTAAAAAAAAAATAAAATATTATTTCTGCACGATATGTAAATGGTAAAAAAACCCAACCCCTACAAAAAAACATTGATGCTTGCAGATTGTGACACTCGTCGACAAACTCCCTATTTAGCTAAAGTAGCCAAAAGAAAAAGAAAGAATTTTTTTTTTTTTTAAATGTCTACCTATTGCGAATATCGACCAACGTACATGTTCTTGATGTACAATGCACATATAGAAAGTGAAAAACTTCACTGATCCCCTATGAATGGGCACCGACTGGAATTTTAAGGCCACAACTCACAAGTTACACTGATTACACCTTCAGAGGAACAATGGCTATCGAAACCGATTATTTCTGTGACGGGAGGAAAAAGAAAAGAACCGTCGGGCCTTGAGACAGACTATTGTGTCTCAATGCCAACTGTCAAGTTGTGGCACTGTCAGAACCCTCAATGACCCCAAAAAATCACGGCCGGCGAAAAATCCCTGACTTACATTGTCTGGCTAAAGAGTTAGCCGTCAAACGGAATGCATAAGATATTGGGGTAATTGCATCAATGTGACCATTTGTTACTTAAGCTTGGATGCCAAGATCACACAAAAGTTGGGAGTGTGACGGTGCGGGTGGCAAAGGCCATCATGGTGTAACCTTGGCTTGCCCTGGGAACGGGGGTGTCTCTTTTGGTCGATGGCGTTGGCGGTTGTTTCTGCGACCGTAACCAGAAACATGTTTGATTGAACCACCACTGTCATTCACGCAGAACCACGCTGCGCAGCGCTATACGAACTTTGCGCAGAACCGAAGACCCAAAACGCTTCAATAAAACATGAAAACAACCCCCAACATTTGTTTTAAGAACAATTCAGCATTAGGTGTGTAATTAAGATTGTCCTGGCATGTCCGTGAATTGACTCCGAGGCGAGTGACACGTGCCAGATGTGTGAGACTTGGTAGGTCTGCTTAAGGGCAGCACCACCATTACCTTAGTTTCACTTTCTGAGATTCACTAGAATTATGGTGTAATACTAGCGCTGTGCATTTTCGAATAACTAATAATCGGAACTTGGGTTGTAAGAATAGATAACACCACAGACATTTAGTGCCATCTTCTCAAGACCGCTTGCATCGTTTTAATATTCAATTAAGTTAGTTAAATGCTATGCAGATATTTGCCAAATGATCAAACACTCAGATATTTGTTATATTCGGTACAAAATTTGGGAATATATTCAGTCCACTATTTTTTTGCAAAGCAGAAATCTACTGATGAAAGGTTTGAACATGGCCACAACGGTCAGGCGGCCAGATCAAATAAGTGGCCGTCATGTGCAGTTAAAATGACTTAATGCCGGTCCATACTTCATGCGAAAGCAAAAGTGAAGCAAATTTCATGACGTCAACAACTGAAGTTTCGCTGTGACGTTCTCCGTTACCTTAATGAATTGGCTTCACACCGACATCCCCATGAAGTATGAACCGACCTTTACACGTACAAAGAGTGGCAAAAATGTGGAAACGGTTTCTTTAACAAGGCCATGAATGCACATCCACATTCGTTAAGTGTACGTAAATTGTGCACTGTAAAAATCGTACTCACCCTTTTCATCATTCTTGTCCCATGACTAATTAAACATCACACTGTGACTGGACTTCTGACCAATGGCGATGAAGCATTAGGGTCATGTGATTAACTTGTTTCGGCTGTTAACGACTACTCTTCCTCAGCGTGCTGTAAGAGTTAGCACTTTTGGGTCCTGCAATAAGAGAAGAATGGTTAAGTTTAAAGGACGTGTTTAAATTCAATCTTCCGAAAACTCAATCACTGTGTAAAATCCTTGACAACACACGCATTGTTTAAAAATTTGACCAACGCGTGACATTGTCGCAAGAGGTTTAAGTGTTGGGGAAAAAATTGGTAATAAGCTCTCGAAACAGAAATGGTAGAACACTGTTTTGTCCATGCATTTAAAATCAGAACAGATTCTTTGAAAATGAGAGAAATAGATTTAGATAAAGTTTCTTAAGTTATACATCTACAATTACTGTAACTGTAAAAAGAAAAAGAAAAATACAATAAAATCTGGAAACCAAGACTTTTAATGTGTCCTACTAAACAAGTAACACAAGCCATCCATCTTTCTTTGGTGTTTTTGTTTGTTTACTCATTTAGAAACAGTGCAATTATACAATTTACAATTTTGTTGGGAGCTAGGGGAACTACTGAGTCAACACAGACTACAAAACAAAACAAAAATTATTCAGCAGAATGCCAATTTCTGATATGACGTATCAAAACTTCCTTCAATCTCAATAGTCAACCCACAGATAGCCTGTTGTCAAGCATTTCACTGTACATTATATGCATCCCATCCTGCATAAGTACACCATTATGACCTCATTTCAATTCATTTCATTCAAGAAGGAGCCAGAGTTTCTCAGAAAATAAACCACATGCTCCAGCACTTCAGGAAGTACTCCAGACCCTGTTGAAATTGAATGAAGGGATTACAGCCCCCCCCCCCCCACAAAAAAATCCTTTGGTCTAAGACAAATCAGAAGCATGCAGGACCTAAAATGAGTGTACAACTGTACGAGGAAATGTACACAGAATGATAGGCTCTGTTCAGAGTTCTTTCAGACTTTGAAGTTTCAAACATTCTATGATAACCAGTGTGGTATTTGTGTGATTATTTGTTGAAATTGCTAAAAGTTTAGGAATGTTCCCCAAAAATTCAGGCATTTCAAATTTAAATTTGAATCTAAATCATGCCAAATGTTAAAATTAAGTTAAACACCACAAATACCGACTCTTGAGAGTCATTTCCACAATATTTGTTTGATAGTTCTCACCGTAACTTCATATTTTGCAACACTCTGAGGCACTGCCACGGAGCGATATTTGCTACAAGTTACAGGCGGTGTATGGCGGCCAAATTCAAGTTCAAAACATGGTGTGTACAAAACCAATGGGTATTGTACACTGTGTGTACACAGGAATAAATGACGTGTGTACATGTCCACTGCCAGAGACTCAGGGAAAGTTGACGATTTAACCCATCACCCGCCCCTGCGAATATACATTGCCAGATCGTGCTTACATTTAACGATCACTTCTGATCATTACATTAAGAGTACTGCCAGTGTTCAGGATAATCGTAAAAACAGGGCTCGCATATATTTTCCACAAGCAAATATACCTGTCAAAATCCACTCTTGGTTGCATCCTTGTTTAATGAGTGCCCAAAAGCACAGATTAATTAAACAATGATGAAAAAATGAACATTTAGTCTGTATGATGCCAGGGAAAGTTTGGAACCAGAGAAACACAAAACAGAAGTGTGACACAAACAAACATGGTGCAAATATCTGCATTCATCCTTGCTACTGAATACAACACGTGCAGTAAGAAATAAAAGAAACCGGAACAGCCTCCAACAACAAAACCAAAAAGTGAAACACAAAAATTGTTACTTAAAATGGAATTTAGAGAAACAAAAAGAGTATCAATCAAATATGAAAAAGACACGTGTCACATCCATAAAAATACATGTTTTGTCAGTTATTTGTAGTCAAACTGGGACAAATATTCCTAAGCTGACTTCACAATCCAAAAATCCTAATCTTAATTCACATTCACGGTTACCTACTGTGTCTCAGGTTCACACATGCACACACAGCCATGTGGCGGTACATACGAAAGACTAGCTTTCCATCGTCGTGTGCACAACTGCTCCACTAAGAAATCTCCCCGCACAATACTGCCGCAATATTACAGAGTCCAAAGTGTGTTCAACGATGTCCAATGCACAGCCACAGCGTTGGCCGTCCACTGTACGTGTGGAGCAGTTCTTTATTTTCCTCTTCCGCGGTGGTTAATGGTAGAGACTGCCGAGTCATACTGGCCGAAGCCTGCCATCGCTATTTATTGGCAGAAGAGCGAGCGGACAGAGGTCTGTGCGGAGATGAACGAAGCTCGATCTCCTTGAGACTGATGACATCAAAGAACCAACACAGATGATGAGAAAGTGCTTGCCCCATCGGCAGCACGGCTCGTCAGTGTGGGCAAACCATTTAGCAAATAGCAACCGAGCTAGGGAGCACTTAAGGCTGGCTAGCATGTGGAAAAAAAGACATCCTGTTCTGTTCTAGTCACCCCCCCCCCCCAATCTTCATCTTTGAGCTGGCCATGTAATGACATGCGCAACAGCGCTTAGTGAATCGTTTGTACGTGGACGTGCAGATGGTTTCCAATTCTGTGTGCATTTTTAGTTGCAACATTGTATTTGTCTTGAAAACCAATTTTGAAAACATTCTGCCATATGTTCCTTTCGATTGGATTGTTATTTTAACAAGTGGACAGTTTTCCAAATGTGTTGTCTTCAAAATGTTAAAGTCTATGCATCGATAGATCATAGTAATTTCATCAGAATGTTTCCTCATTTGTTCAATGACAGCAGGCAACTGGGTATGCTAATGACTCTTGTGAGTTACTTGGCTTAATTATGCTGGCCCGCAATTTACAAAGGATGTCATAAAACGTCAAAACAACAGTGCTCATTATCTCCTTGTTCATCGTTTGTGTCTTCTGCAAAACTGAAACGTCAAAAATGTCAGGACTTGGAATATATCATCATCTAATTCACATCAAATCCATGTAGCAACTTTCAGTTTGTATATACTTCACTGCATGTACGTCATATTTGTTTTCTGTTTCTTTTTTTCCCGCTTAATAATGCCAAAGGGTTTGCCAACTTGGTTCCAAATTTGGCTACCCTAAATTTGGATATATACATGGAAGTTTACATGGCTCGCATTTTTATGACCATTGTACTGTACATGTTCATTTTTGTGGTTTGACCATGATGCCATTGACTGATGAAATAAAAAACAATGTTGGTTGGCAAGAGCTTCCGTTTTCAATGGATAATCCGCTTTCTCTCTTAAGTAATACCATTACATAGATATTGAAATTTTTGAAAGTTAAATTTGTAATAAAAAAAGAAAGAAGAGTTTTACTTCTAAGAAGATTAGGGGGTGGGTCAGATGGAGAAAATTAACAGATTTTGATGAACAGAGTTAAAAGCCTTTTTTTTAGGAGAGCTGCAGATATAACTTGCACAATAGGTGAAAAAATAATTGATGTTCTGCCAAGAGCCAGCACTGAAACTGAAACGAAAAGTTGGTCAATTCAACAACACTGTAAAGACAGCGGTCTGTTAAAATTAATGGCAAAATTAAAATAGAACTGGTATTTAAGGAGTACAAAGCAAGGGTGTAGACAAAAGGTGTGGGGTGGGGCTCTTTACGTAACCCTAAAAAAAAAGGGGGGGGAACATGAAAAAAATACTGCCTTAAAAGGAAAATTGCCCGAGAAACTGTGGTCAAAAGCGGCATACTGTACGGTATTTGTAGAGTATAGAACATGTAAGAAATTTGATCACATTTTTCCCCCTCAGTTACACACGTACACATGCTGCCCATAGAATGGGAACGTGATCACGGCTCTGACATTACCCGGTATGTTTCCACGGCGGGCCACAAGTAAAACGACAAATCATGAATAAAACATACATCCGGACCGGCTGATGAATGACTGGCCACGTGCTTTTAAAGTCAGGTTTATGCTCTGAAGATGGAAGAATATTTTTGCATGTGTACATGTATTTCCATTTTTAGTTTTGCCAAAATTATCGTTGATTGTTTATAAATAGTAATCAGAAACAAAAATGGAAAGATGGTCACTGGAATTCTCTCAAGGACCCTTAATGAATAAAAAAAAATTGCTGTTGTGGACTGACAATTATTATCGCCAAAACACACTGTATCAAAAAGGCTTTTTAATGGGGTATATTTTTTTAACTTCTGGAGAATAAATCCACCAATGAACACATTGTGTACATTTTCCCCCAATGTGTAAAAAATAACATGTACACCCCCTCATTCGTACTAATTGCAAGCCTAGTTCTATTTTTTGTGCCATGGTACAAAAAATATAATAAAAATATAGAGTACACAGCTCAACATCTTATGATTCATTCATTTAGTGGGCTGGCACCGGGTCATGAACGCTGACTGCATATTTACTTCATTTTTTCCTGCTTTAAGCATATTGCAATAAAATTTACAGACTTTTATTAAAACTGAAATATCCCATACGTGCCAAACACTCTGATTTAAACAACGAATTCTATACACATGTAATTAACAGTCAGAACAAGAAAGTACATGTTAACATTTACATTAGTACGGTATGCTGCATAAATTGTAGAAAAATCTTGAAGTTAATTACATGTACATGTAATAGACTGAAAACAACTGGCAAAAAATGGGGATTTCTAAAAAGATGAGAAGTGTCTAGTTCTTTGGATACATCTTCTAAGTCCAATAGCACCACATTTGCATTGTACATGTACAACAGGGGGAAAATCAAATAAAATCTTAGTGATGAAGGCACATGAACGTGCGCACTCTTTATGTGCACGCAAGCCGGTGAAAGCGTGTATCAGTAGACATGAGGGGAAAAAAATAGTACGTAGACTTCATACATAATTCATACATCCGGTAGAGGCCTTCGCAACATGGGCAGCATGCCAGATTAGCAAGGAGAGAGCTGGCTCGGATGTAAACACGGCACAGCTCTCGAAATACACTTGCTCTAGAATTACCTCGCAATATATACATTTTTGAGCCTTCTCCACGAAAAGCTTGGAAGTCTAAATCTGAAACTGTCTGCCTACATGTAGCGGTCTCTGTATAAACATGCACCTTCTAATTTTGCACAGCTAGAGACAGTCTATGTGCATGTTCTTGATCTAACCTTGATACTTTGACGAAAATAACATGAAAATTTAATCGGGCATTGTGTGGTGAAATCTCTCACGAGAGAATACAAAATTGGCTTTAACCAATAATATGTCATTTCTTTATTCAGGCCAATCGCAGCTATTTTTTCTTTTAATTCAGAGTTTTGAATAAATCATGGACTTTGAATAAATTACAAATTGTTACAATTCCAACATATTTGTTATAATCTGAAGCCGAAAGCAATGTCATGAATGACACTCGTTAATTTTTTCGATCTCAACATTATCAATACTCTTTGATTGAAAAAATAAAGTCTCCTCTCTATTCTTATTTAAGTATCACCTCTTCCGTCTGGTAAGGGGGAAAAATGACAGAAAAAGACACTATCTCCTGTGGACGGAAGGAAGGAAACCGTGGAGTAGTGAGGGGCGTATTTGTTGACAATCTTGCCTCGCTGCCAAAATCCACTGGATTTTTTTTGTCTTGAATTCTGAGGCTTGTACGGATATTTGAGTTCCGGTTGCAGGAAGAATTCGTCGTGGGGGGGGGGGGGCTGGGCTAGTGTTAACGCTGATCTTTCAGTCGGAAACTAAAGTCGAGACGACAACTGAAGGGTTCTTTAAATGGCGTGAGGGGATAGAGGCGAGAATACTACTCTTCCGATAAACCCTACAGATATGACTGGTTCCGAGTGGCAGGACTCGTTGAGAGCACCTAGGGTTTTAAAGAACCGGAACACAGCTGGTGTTTTTGTTTACAGTCCGAACTGACAGTAATTGGTGCTGAACGCAGGCCTGGAAAAAAAATAGGTTTCTATTCAAGTGTTGAAGAGGATTGTTTTTCAGTTAATGCTCTGTGAATTATCAGTAATGAGTTACGATTTATCAATGACGATCAAGATAATAATGATGATGATCATGATGGCACTGATGATGATGTTGATGTTGATGATGGTGTTAATAATAAATTATACAAATGGTAATTTATACAGCCCTCTTTAATCTAACAAATGATCAAAATTCTTTTCATTATTATTACCCCTGCTCATCAGGCCAATAAAAAATTCCTCATACTATCTCAGCTCCCTGGGGAAAAAATACAGCACACTCCAACCATTTTTCACCCAGTTGCAGACAGCTATTTCAAATATGACAACTATCCCTTTCCCTCGGATAGCCATTTTACCCCTGGGTTGGGGAGAAGCAATAAGTTGCAAAATGTCTTGCCCAAGGACACACGTACCACAACTCCCAGCGGGCTGGACTTGAACCCAAAACCTACAAAATTACCCACAAGATCTTGAATTTGGTGATCCAAACCATGAGGTCACAGCACTTCACGATGTCATGACAACGATAATTGGCAATGGTATAACAATTACGAAGACTAAGTTGATTATAACAATGACAAATAAAAAAGACAAAAACGACAGTGGCAAAAATAACGACAAAAGTGTCAGTGACAAAATGATGACAACAAAGTGACAATGACAAAATGACACTTACAAAAACGACAACAAAATGACATAGACAATGAAAAATGACAATGACAAAAATGATGACAAAAGCGACAAGGACAAAACCAACAGAAAAAAGTAACGATGTTTATCTTATCAGTTAGTGATTATGACAGTGATCTCTTTTGCTCCTTCGCTAAAATGCATCAACAAATCTAACAGGAGAAAGGAAGAGCAAAAAAACAAACGAAAGGAAGAAGCCTATCATCTCAGAAAACAAGACATTCCATCGCCCTTCATCAGCAACTGGGTATCGTCCTCCAATGCGAAGGGACTGAGAGCGTTTCCACCGAAGATGGCAAGAGACAAGAGCGGAAGTTCCTCCTACGCATTCAGTCAATACAGCTGGGTGGAATGGGAAACAGACGGATGTGCAGTGTGTGTGCATGCGTGTATTTATTGGTCTCACTGGGTAATCGGCCTCAAGTGGTGGGCAATTCTCTGCGCTCAATAAACGGGGGCTCTAAAAAGGGGGAAATTTCACAATATCCCAATGTTCTTGATTTTTGGCAGGTTTTCTTTCCTCCCAGTATTACACATGTAAAAATACACATTTTGTTTTGTCATAGACAATGAAAATATCTTATTGGCAAAACCATTGTTATCTTCACTGACATACACAACTACAAGTTTGTCAGCAAATTATTTTCTCTTTTTTGAGAGCATTTTAAAAGGGTTCATTAAGCACTTAAAACAAAGATCAGAAAATCACGCCAAAAGAACAATTTGTATGCTACATGTAACG